CTCTCGGAGGGCTATGAAGCTTCGTGGGGGTGATGACATCGACCTCAAAGCTGGATGTATCCGGCGGGCGGATGACCTTCCCTCCCGACTTTCGTTTTCATCTACCGCCCTCATGCTCTTCGGTGAGTATTCTTGCCTTAGCCTATCTTTATGTACCGACTTCGGCTGGATGCAGTCGTTAAGCATCCACTTTTTCTCCAAGGCACTCAGAGTATCCCGTGCCCCGCTAATCGCGGACGAAGTGGACGCCGTCTTATGCGGCTCGTCCTTTGGTGGAACCGGTGGTGCAAAAGGGTTGCGCGCCGTAGAGCTTGTCGCCGTGTCGCGCTTGACATCACGGTCGTGAATTGGAATTGCAGCGGACTCGGATTTGCGGCGTGCTTGGGAGTGAACGAAGTGAGCGAAGGGGTTCTCCGGCTGCGGCATGGTCACGTCGTGTTGACAGTCACGAAGGTCGGGAATGCGGAGTTTGCGAAGTCTGCATCGATCATTCCCCATGTCGCTGACCGCAGAGAGCTACGGTGGGGATGATGAAGGGAGAATACTAGTGCTGCGAGAAGAAGATTAGCAATGAGGATGTAAGTTTATGGGAGTCATGCCCGATGACTCAGGTATGATGACATCGAACGGCCGAGGAGAGATGGGATGAAAGTAGATTCTCGATTCGTAGATTATATAAAGAGACGTGGCGATTCCGTGCCAGTACATCGTCGTGGAATGAAGGAAAAACGCCTTAATGCTGGTGATAGGGCGCACGGGTATCCGATACATGTGAAAAACCAAAGAAACGCCGTTAACAAATGCTAGCGCTCGCTGGTGTAAGACGCGATGAGCACGCTTCGGTGCTGAAGATCGCTGTATGCTGAATGCCGGAGAAAGGATAGGTGCCATGACCACAAATTGCACGATATTGTTCGCTACAATCATGTCTCATCATGGTCGCTGTACAACACGCACTGACATCATGGGAAGTCCACACATGCCATATCGCGAGACCTAGTAGTAGTACCGCGTAAGTCTCATTCCAGATGACCAAGATTGTGCCGAGTCAAGAGCAGCTCAGGCGCAAAATTAGTCATGTATGAAATGTCAGCATCGTTGGCAACGTGATGAGCGGTCTCCTCCAGATTGCCAAAGATCGCCTCCATATCGTCTTGCGATATGTTTTCCATCTCCTCATCCTCATCGTCGTCTTCGTCGATTTCGATGTCGTACTGGTGTTTCGGTTCTTCTTGTTCCGCCGCCTGTGTTGAGGCCTCCCATTCTTCGATGTCGGCGCCCGAGAAAAATGAGCCCTCGTTCGCGTACTCCATGGACTCTTCGTCGTCGGCAGTGGTTTCCGAGTTGAGATCGAACGACGTCACCGAGAACATGTCCAGATCTTCGAATGGTGAACAGATAGAAGACGGAAGAGAAGCTGGAGTCCGAGGAGTGTACGCATCGTCCGAGCAAGCGTTGGCCATGACTTCGTCATCGACACCTAAGGTGGTCAGATGAGAACTTGCAGAAACGCCAATTAGAGACCTTTCCATGCTGAGTGGGTCCTTGACGGCGTTGCTGCCTCCCACGAACTGGAGTCGGGTGCCGTATCGCACGTGAAGGTCTTGGGCGATACCGGGCGCAAACCAGACCTTGTGGAGATCGAGGCGCAAGACTTTTGCCACTCCAGAATCGAGCAGTCGTCGCAACGAAGCCGTGATGGGATGGTCGGCGTGCAGTACGGAGTCATCGACGCGTGAATTCGTAAGCCTTGATAAGGAGGATTGAATGTTAATTTCCAGGTCCTCGAAGGCTGCGCCGATAGTTGCTAGTGATGCTATGGTATCGGCGATCTTGCGCTCCCTTTCCGGATTCGCTCGCCCAATCGTGGCAGATACGGTGAGTCGACTTAGGAATCGAAGGTACCTATCGGCGATAGGAGGAAGCACGGTGGCGTTGGCGTCTGTAGGCGACGACGGGGCGACGGTGCTGATGGGATTGTTCTTGTAGAAGTAAGAGGTGGACTCTAGATGCACCTGTTTTGAGACGGTGAAGAGTGCAAGAGAGTTGTGAGTTTGCTGCTGAGTATGACGATCGCGGAGAAGGTTGTCGTAAACCATGTTGCGCAACTCTGCCGGGAATTCGTCAAATCTTGCCATGGCGGCTACAAAGTGGTTGAGTATTTGTCGCGGTCGATTGAAGTATGTGTGAGAAAGATACAATCGGATCGGTGACTGGTGATGTCCTTTGACGATGTTCCTGTTTCAGGTGGCGCGATGTGGGGTGGGTTCAGCCAACGCGCGACAGGGGTGAAAGCATGCGCTAATCGGGAGCACTAGGATTCACCAGGTAGAATGCCGCGACCAGAGGGTGTAGTCGTTGAGGTACAATGTCGTGCGGAAGAAGCAGGTCGACTGTTGCTTTGCGTGGGGTGCGAGGTGCTGTCGTGCTTGACGCGACAGCGCGGGGGTTCAGCAGGCTTTATGTGTGTGGTGGGAGTGCGATGAGGTTGGAATCAGCGAGGACGGTGCGGCAGGTTGAGCTGTTATGCGGCTTCCGAAGACTGATCTACGCTAGCGTGCACACGTGAATGGCTTGGGGTCTGCCGGCTGCACAAAGCATTCAAGGGGCAGGTATACTCGCTAAGCCACCTTTACCATGGAACGGGACTTTATAGGTACTCCCCCACCACACTTGATGACTCCACGGTTCCACGCACATCGACAGAATCTCAAGTCGCAGCTGCCTGATGGGATGTGCCGCATGCCGCTGGCCTGTTCTGGAATCAAGGCCGTCAGGGCTGAACGCTTTCTTTGCTACTATATATTGAATGCGGAAGGTATGCGCGGCATACTGGGTTGACCTGCAGCGGCATTTATCCTGCGGAAGCCTTCACGATGTAGACTACTCGGTTGCGACTTATAATAGCCAAACATTGTTGAACTAGCAGACGTGACCGACTGAGGCAAACGTTCTGCGTTCTTCCAGCATATTGCAATGCGCCAATCGGAAAGCGGGATATAGCAGGCGTACGAAAGGAGCATAGCACAGCCGCCCTTTCTGCCTTCAGGCTTCCTCGCTCTTATGTGCTACCTGAATGGACGGCCCAACAAGGTGCGCTCCACGCTGTGATTATCCAGCATGACTGGAAAGTCACCATCGCCAAATATGTATTGAGGATGGTGGGACCCGCCCTTTGGCGAGCTCAGCGCCGAAGCGGCATGCATTCAGCATGATCTCCCGTAGCGATCTTGTGGCATTTAACAGCAAGAACCGGCTTCCCACCACTCGAGCGATATATCTCTATCCGAATGCGCTCGTGTGAGCTAGGCGTGTGAGACCGATGCGTCAGCGGCAAGCGAATAGGACTCGATCGTGCGTTCCCGGCGGTGGAGCTGGCAGCTAGCGGAACAGGAACAGGACAAGCGCGTGTCACCCGATCAGGGTTTCATAGCATACGCGCACACTGCTAGCGGGAAGGCAAGCAGGTGTCGTTGGCATATGGGCAGATCGCGATTTGGGACAAGGAGGACGAAGGCAACGATGGCACGCGTCGTGAGGTGACGTTTCGCGGTGCCCGCGTCAGGATGATCCGGCGCTAGCTTATCGATAAGTGTCCACGTGACACCGTCTTTGTCTCAACACGCACCTGCTGATGCATCGTCCTCCACCATCTCGATTGCTTCGTGTGACTCAAAAGCGGGCCGGCGCATGATCTAGCCGAGTCTTTCGTCCCGCACACCATCTCCGATATGACTCACGCCCTTGCTTCCCTGACTGTTCAATCGCTGGTCGGCATGTTCAGCAACACGACGTCATCGCCATGAATCGTCAGTGCCACGCCGCAAGCATACAGATGACGTTGCGAAGTTTTGAGCTATCCTGCATGTGCAGTTGAGTAGTAAGTTGTTATCGACTGCGGGGTATGCCATACAAGAGCAGCTGGTTTAATATACCCGCGCCTGCGCCGGAAAGCCCGATGGAAATGGTACATGGAGCTGATGAAGGCTACTGACACTCATATACTACTGTAAGCTATAGAAAATAGAACCTCCTATCATCCATCACGCGAAAGCAGATCGTATACTTTCCGGCTGGGATGTCACGGATCGAAAGAGTTAGAACCTTCCTCAGGGCAACAAGCTACTGAACAGTGTTGAGCTGGTCTACATCTGGCCGCAACGGAAACCTATACGATATGCGGCGCGGCATAGAAGATCGAAGACAGATCTGTTACGACACACCCGGTGATGATTATGATCCGATCATGATACGTCACATAGGCTCGTCAATCGATACACTGCCCCTCATGATAAGTAAAGGGTTCACTGATTTCGCGACCACCATTCACACGGACAGCGGTTAAATCGCGACTTCGTCCTTCACTCATCGGCAAAGGGCCACGCCGTGATAGTGCTCGCGCCGCGGTTGACGCATTATTACTGCCACCAGGAGCCTCCCAACTATAAGAAGAGCCTGTACTACGTCTCTCTGAAGACAATCCATCACACCTGCTTAGAAGAATCAACTCCTCAACCAAGCATCTAATTACCAGAACTTATCCAAAAACAGACACCGATCATGCGCTTCCTCTCCCTCATCACCGCCTTCATGGCCACAACTGCCATCGCAGTCCCTGCATCATTGGCCCTGCGCCCCGATGTCAATGCAATTGACGCGGCAGTTGATGCAGCCGTCGCGGCCGAAGTCGCTGACGGAAAGCCCCTCTTATGGTGCTACATCTGCGCACTCTGGTACGAGCAATGTCTCGATGTAAGTGACCTACAATCCAGAGTCTCCTCATGTACTTTCTAATCAACACTAGACACAAGCTACCCCCGATATCTGCCGCTGCTTGACAGCTTATTACGGTGACGGTAGATGTCGTACCACAGATTGTGGATTTAGTTGCTAGAGAAAGGAGTGGGGAGATTGTTGTTGATGCATTAATTGCACATTAGGGATATATCTGGTACCACATGGTGTACTGTAGTAGAAGTGACCCATGGTGGGGTTAGGGCTCAATGTCGTCGTAGTAGCCTTCCATTTCTCGCTGCCTCAATCCTCCTCTTCCATTCCTGTCGATAGGCCAGTGCCTTCTCAGCCCACGAATCATATGTGATCTCCTCCTTATTGTTGACCTTGATCTCCAGATTGTGATCCGCATCAACAGGGTCCATACCAATCACCAGTAGAAGTCCAGCATCACAAAGTCTCTTGAACGTATCGAAAAGTCCGCTCTCGAGATCCTCGATAACCTCCAGTATCTCTGTCTCGTTGCGTGCCCAAAGAGGCCATGCATGCGGTACCCGTGAGACAATATTACGCGACGAAAAGGCGCTACTGATGAACCTGCTCCCGGGTGGTGAGTTGGTCCGGACCTTGAAATTGATCTTTGTACCAGGATTGAACTGCAGGAACTGCTCGAGTTCCTTGCGTAGCAGCGGCAATTGCGGTGGCGGCGCTCCCTGGGCATCTCGCTCAACGAAAGCCATGTGAATGGGGAATGTTATAGTCTTGATATGGTCGCGCGGCACGATACCCAGCTGCCAACGATCTTGAATAGCGAAGTCCGGGATAAGAGATAAATCATCGGGACGCTCGATGGAGAAGGTATTGACTCTGTACCAGTGCTGCACTAGTTCAACTAAGAACTTGTGACCGACATGCTCGCACTGGAATATCTCTGGTAACCCAGACTGCTTGCAGAGGAAGTCGAAGCTCCAATATTCGTCGTTTCGTGAAGATAGACATGCTTGTCGGCGGCTACCCACATATCTATGGTCTTTCTCACGCTCGTCCCTGAGGCTGTCCGAAGACTCAACGAGCGTGACCAGACCAGGCTCAACCAGGTATCCGTATATTTGGTCCCGTATCTCTTGCGCTGCGATCTTCTCGAGAAGTCCGTGACATACGTAACGACGTACTTCTTTGTTGTAGTTGTGAAAGCTGTATTTCTACTTTAGTACTGCAACGGAGTTTTCGTACGGAAGGAATTTCGCGTGTCTCTTCCAGGCTTGCGCGGCGGCGTGTATAGCAGGTCCGTAAGAAGTGTCAGCAAGGCGCTTCGACCCACGCAACAGCGCGTTGGCAATGAGAATCGCTCGTTTCTGTTTACGGATTTCGATCTTGAGCTTCTTTCTGCTGGGCTCCGCATCAGACCAGTCCCTTTGAGCTATCAGCACAATACACGAGAAGTTTGAAGATTTGCCTTACTTGTCAAGCATGTCACGGAATCGCTTGAGCGCTCCAGCCGACCGCACTGGATTCTCCGGGTGAGATGTCGCCATAGTCGAGAGATGTAACTGTCTGAGTACACCAAGTTGCGCGCAAGGTGAACTCTGGGACATATACATATTCAGACTTCTACCGGGGTGCGGCACAACTTCGGAAATGACGAGTTGGTTCATCGATCGGGTTTGGTGGTAGCATCACGCTACAATAAGAGACGTATAACCCTCTGAGAAGCCTACATCACCTTGGGTTCTGGCAACTCCTTTTCTTCTCTACTGATGTAGACGGCAGCGCACCTGTTTGGGACCCATGTTGTATAGGTAAGATGGCAACGTCGTCGCGATCGCTCAGTCTGAACGTGCAGTACATTAAGCAATACCGGCTCGAATTCGTGAGTTTTGCGATATCAACCGTCGTGTCCAGGTTGCCCAGATGCAGCTAGTAATCGTGTTCGGAGGTGGCTGATCGCGTGATCACGTGAACAAACAGCGCCAAGGATACTCCCATGATCGGCATTATGGACAGCCGACACGAACGACGTGGTATTTGACTGGACGATCGGATTCTCCGCCGATGCAGGACGGCTTCATGCGCGATTGTTGTCACCTCGTTGATGGAGGGCCGAAGAGAGCTCTGCCAGGACGTTTATGGATGGCTGGAGACATGCATGTGAAAGCCTCGGTCTCAAACTTTCAGGGGCGATGACGCCATCGCAGGGGAGTCGCACCCCATCGCGCCTGCACCACGCGTCTTTCAATAATTCTCACGACCTTACTTCACCACCATTGCAGTTCATCGTCGCATTGATCAGACATTATTCATTCTTATGCTATTTATCTAGCTTTTACTTTCTTCTATTGATCCATCTATATGGAGATCCACCTTCCCATCCAGGTATCCACGATCTGCTTCGCCTCGTCGACCAGACCCATGTCCAGCAGCAGTTGCGAAGTGCCGCGCACGGCGGAGTCAAGTGCTGAGAAGATCCAGGCGTGTGTGTAGCTGGTGTGCTCACCGATGAAGATGGTTTGGGCTTCGGTCTTGTAGTAGGCGGGCAGGAACAGGTCTTGTTGGCCAACGAATGGGGAAGCCCAAGCACCGGCTTGGTGCTCGTCGGTCTCCCAGCACTGGCGCTCGTATGCACCAGTCCACTGCTCGGAAGCCACATCGCCATGAATCTCCACCATCGCCCGCTGGACCATCGCTACGTGGTCTTCTTCGCTGAGTGCACCCACCGAGCGCGCTAGTGCACCAGAGATGTACGATCCGAGGATGACACCGGGCCCAGTTGAGTTGACCTTGTACGCGGGGTAGCAAACGCTGCCGATACCTGCGATATCGACTGAGCCGCAGCCACCGATGATGGGCTCTGGGAGGTGTTCCCAGAAACGAGTCTTGTAGTGCAGAGAGACCTTGCAGGACTGTTGGTAGTTCATCTCGCTGATGGCGCGCGACAAAAGCGAGGAGTACTGGGGGAGATCCCAAAGCCTGACCTTGGAGAAGGGCACCGCAACGACTGCGTAGTCGTATTCCTCACTCTCTGGCTCCATGGCGAAAGGATCTTGACGCCACTGGACAGCGATCTTTCCGGTGCTCTCATCGTGCTTCAGGCCGGTTACCTTGCGTCCCAGAGTCAGACGATTCTGAACGTGGGGGTAGAATGCGCGCGGCAATGACTCCAGACCCTTGTCAATCGTTCGCCAATCTGTGGCTTTGAAGTATACAGTGTCGTACTCCCAGATCGGAGCGTCGGCATTGCCAGTGATGTAGTCCACAACATCATCGCTCGCGTTCAGCGCGTACTTGATGTACGCAGCCTCGGACCAATGGAACAGACCCTTGTCGACGGCATTCTTGTGAGCCTTGAAGACATTGGTGGCGATCTCACGCTCAACTTCCGGTGTGTATCCAACGAATTCTTCGTATGCCTCCTCCGCCTTCTCCACAGCCTCCTCATCTGGACCCTCAGCTGTTGGCAATGTGTAGGCTGTTGCGTTGCTCTTGATCTGCGCTGCGCTAGGGATCCGTCCGTTTGGCAGACGGTACCCATTCGAGTTAGCGGGCAGGTTTGGGCTTGATTGGATCCAGTTGATGAAGTTGACGGCAAGATCGCTGGTGTTGCCTCCGTTCATCTGGTTCAGGACGTCTCCGAGTTGAAAAACCATCTTGTGGTCATTGATTTCCAGTGTTTCGTTTTGGTCTGGGTAGGTGATCGAGACAGGGAATCGCATAGGCCCCATCTCCTGGTACTGGTATTGCTCGGGTGTGCTGCCTGCAAGGTACTTCGTCCGGATACGGCCACCGATACGCTGCGAGGACTCATGGATGTGCCAATCGTGGATGCCTACGGAGTCGAGGAGAAGACTTGTCATCAACCCCGACATGCCTCCACCAACAATGGCGATCTTTTTGCTCTTCTCGACTGCGGCGTACGATGCGTTGTTTTGCTTCGCCTCCATGTAGGCTACACCGTCAAACCAAGGACCCATGGCGTCAGCCACGTCGGAGATCTCCTCTCGTTTCCTTGGTGGATGTTGGATCGAGACGGGCGCTGAGCGGCCAATCAAGTTAGAACCTGAGTAGGCATGAAGACATCCGCCGTGGACAGCATCATCCGGCACGATCCAGACGAAGCGCTCGGGGCGACTTGATCGCTTGATGTAGTGGGATGCCACGTTGTGGTGACCGTCGGCGTGGCTCTTCATGCCGCATTCGCCATACACCAGACGAATCTCGCCCTCGAAGTCATCGTCTCCATAACCGACATGGACGTTGTGTACCGAGTTGGATGTGACAGCCAGAGGCTTGAAGAATACGACTTCCGATCGGGGAGCAACTGGGCTGGCAATAGCACCACCAGCCAAAGACAGGGCAGCCGAAGAGGCTGTGAAAAGACCCTTCATTGTGGTGTGAAGAAGAGATGGATATGATGAGGAGTGCGAGATGAAGGGAAAGATGCCCTGCTCATATACGGATCTACATACACCATCACAGCGGGCAGCACTGCACACGCTTACACCTTCTTTCGCATTCCCGTTGGTCACCAAGCCTTATCGTCGTAGGGCGTGGCTATGATCATCGGAAGTTGTCGTTGCGACGGACCGTTTGCCGTTGGCCTAACAAAAATTCTATGCATCCGGCCGCGATAAGGACTACAAGGCGTCGCCATGCGCGACTTCTACAAGACTTTTCGCAAGTAAGATGGGGTACGCGACACGCCCAAATGCCTGTTACAGTTGACCCGCAGTATACCCTCGAAGCGAGGTGCAGTAGCGCTATGCAGTACGGGTGATAGTGTGGAGATTCAGCTTACGGAAGAGATGGCATTGTGGACTGAGGTTCCTACCAGCGACAAGATAACCCACATCGGATAAGCCAGGAGTCTCGGCTTAGCCACGACCGTTATTCCGAGCAATCTCGGCTCTGATATCAGCGCTGCGTATGCAACTTCACGATGCTACCTTGAACCATCCAATGCGGTCCCCCTCGACGCCAGAGACACCATAGGCCATGAGGTCATTCGAACAAGAAGGAAGAGCACCATTTTCAAAACATACCTCAACATGAAGGCTACACACCCTATTGACTGTGTCATCGCGAAGGTGACACAGAAGCGAGATGCGTGCGATGATGTGCATGTTCGTCCAGCGCGACCCTACAACGCACTGAACGCGTCCATGTGGGGCTGAGCTCAAGCATGAGTCGGACACAAGATATGCCAAAAACGTGGCACAGAACTTCGTCCGGGAACAATGTCAAAACTCCGCAGGGAAAGGCTTGTCCTTCACGGAAGGAAGTTCAGACAGGGGTCTAGATCCTCTCGGCAAATGAGCGGCAAGCCATGGATACCCCAGGTGGAGCCACGATTGCGATAACGCGCAACGGCTGGCCTAAACCCCGATTCTTATCTCAACACCCTGCAGCCTTTATCTCGCGTTACGTCAGGACGAATGCGCGCTTCGAAATGCGCGTTAAACGCAGGATACAAATGCAGAGGTGTCTCGGCGCCCAGGCGAACTACATCTTCGACGGCCCTTCTCGCGATAGCTTAACTCGACTCAACTCCACATCGCCACAAGTGCTATCCTCCTTCCTTTTCTAGTGCATTCTGGATATCTACGCGAATTTGAACCCCACGATGGCGCCGAAACGGTTGCGCGAGGCCCTGCCGACCTGAGTGTAGTGCAGGTAGTACAGTTCCTGGTGGACATACCGGTACCTTGGAGCCGGCGGCGGACCGTTAACCATTACAAACGGGTCTGACTGTATCGCGGATCCTCAGCCGTGGCTGGAAGTCAACAATACTGGCTGCATGTCGGAGTAACATTGGCAACGAGCTTTACCTGGTACATGGACACTCGCAGCTCTTGGAAGCCATGGCATTCGGTACAACGCGGGCGGTCAGACTTGACCGAACACGAAAGAGTCGGGAGATGATGATCCGCGAGCATTGCCAACTCTTATAAGACTGTATAGGACCAACGATAGCGGAATACTCACATCATTATACTCGTGCCTCTACGTCCATACCCTCGCAGAACACAATCGCTGTAATTCATTCATCATGGTCTCTTTCACCTCCATTGTCACCACTTTCCTCGCCGTTACTGGTGCTGTAGTCGCCAAGCCAACACCGAAGCTCGCTGAGCAACCGGTTGTGACCTATCTTGGTACCCAAGGACCCATTCTCTGTACACTACCATCTGATGTCTGATGACTACGTGCTAACTACCGTCAAGCGAGCGGTGCATGGACATCAAAAGGCATAGTCTACACCTCAGGAACCGTCCCTTCGTTCAACGGATCGATTGTAGCAGGCGGCATTGAAGCTCAAACGGTACATAAGCCAAATTCAGCTTCATCATGGACTCACACTCACTCAACCCAGGCTCAAGTCATCAAAAACATCGCGGTCATCCTCGAGGAAGCCGGCACATCATGGGACTATGTTATGAAGACTACCGTCTTCCTTGCCAACATGTCGGATTACAGTGCGATGAACGAGGTTTACGCTGCTATGCTGCCCACCCCCAAGCCAGCCCGCACTGCTGTTGAGGTTGGCAAGTTACCGGGTAACTTCTTGATCGAGGTTGAGGCTATTGCTGCCATTCCAGACTCATGAGGCGGAACAGTTGTAAAAAGGAGATAGAAACCAAAAGACAGTACTCAAAGTCGTATTGACAATGCGAAATCTTTCCAATCGATACGAGTCAATCTTCATTGAGCTTCCGCGTGAGAACTGGATGTGACTGTTCAATTTGGCGGGTTTCATACCTCTCGAAGTCTTACATCCAAAGGATCTCACGATGCGAATCTGTGTAGGTGGAATGCCAATGGATTTGCTTTTGTCCCTGGTGCGGAAATGGCTCCGCTCACACATCGGTGAACCATGACGTCGGATGTGGGGTAGAACCACCACCACACTGCTGGAACAGCCCAACGTGGTACAAGACCAGCAGCCCCGATAGGATCGCATCCAGAAGAACTGCAGCCTTCCCGCGATGCCAGAAATACACGACCACGATGGCAAGCCCGTCCACCACCACATGGCACGTGTAAACGGCATCCGCCTCCACTACATCAAATCCGGATCCGGCCCACCCCTACTCCTCCTCCACGGCACACCTAAAACACACTACTACTGGTACCGCATCGCCCCCCTCCTAACCAAAAAGTTCACCATCATCGCCCCCGACCTCCGCGGCTTCGGCGCAACAGACAAGCCCCCCGCAAGCGAAGGCTACGATGGGCGCACCAACGCCAAAGACATGGCCGAACTCATGACGCAACTCGGGTACGAGAAATTCTCCGTCCACGGCGAAGACCGCGGCGCAACATATGCCTTCTGCCTCGCGGGCCTGTATCCCGAACGCGTAACCCACCTCTCCTTCTGCGAAATGCTGCTTTCCTACGCGCTTACCAAACAGACCTTCTTCACGCGCAAAAATATCGCGGCGCAGTACAACCAAGCGGGCGTATGGAACTGGCATATCCCTTTCTTTTGGCTGCCGCATGTACCTGAGATGTTGATTCAGGGAAAGGAGGAAGAGTTCTGGACGCATTTCATGAAGGCTGAGTGTTATAATCCCAGTGCGCTGGATCAGGGGGCTGTGAATGAGTGGGTGCGTTGTTTGAAGGCGCCGGGTGGGCTGAGGGGTGTGCTGGAGAGTTATAGGGCGCATTGGGTTAATGTGGATGTTGAGGAGGAGATTTTGACTGGGGGGAAGTTGAGGTGTTGTGTTATGACTGTGGGGGCGCCGGAGTAAGTTCTACGACGAGGAGATGTGTTGATACGGGTTGATACTGACGAAATCAGGTTCTTTGGACCGTTGGTTAAGGAGCAGATGGAGTCTGCTGCTGAGAAGGTGCATATTTCTGAGGTGTTCGAGGAATGCGGGCATAGTTTGGCACTTGAGCAGCCGGAGAAGCTTGCTAATCTTTTGAAGAAGTTTATTCTTTAGATTCTGTACGCTTCTCGCTGATATCTAGAAGATCAATGTGTCCACCCTCCTATACCATGTCATCCCCAGCACAAGCTATGACCTTGCCCTCCTTCCTTTTTCATCACCCTGTCGTCTCCAACGCAGGCTATGCCCTTGCACTTTTTCCTCTTCCACCACCCTGTAGTCTACAATGCAGACTTTAAAACTCGTCAGACGAATCAGAATCATCACTGGCCGCTCATTCACGGCGGGCGCGTTTCGCAAGGATGGCCTGGGACGAATTAGCGAGTACTATCAGCACAGCAAGGGACTTACTTTGTGATGTTTCTCAAGCTTCTCCGCCCAACACTCCTCCGTCAGCTCCTCGCTTACCACCTTGAACTTCAAGTGGTAGCCCAGCTTCACCGTGACACGGTATTCGGCTGTAAGCAACTTCTGGATGCTCGTGAATAGGAGTGCGAGATAACGAGGCGGGATTGCTGCGCTGGAATCTGCCACTACATTCATCACTGCCACTGTCGGCAAAGCCTGCAAGCTCAGCAAGATGTTGGCACCAGTTTTGAGAGTGTGAAGCTCGGCTAAGCTTTTAGCTAGTATGGTGGAATCGCCGGACGAGTTGACAGGGGTGAACAGCTATTAAGCTGTTAGCACAGATAATAATAACATGCCTTAAAATTGCCTTGGCGAAAGCGTAGCAAGGAGAATACATCTTCTTGTTTGCGCGCTCGTCTCGTGATGATCCGATTACAAGGAGAATACATACTAGTAAGAAGTCAGCAAAATAACTTAAGAGCTATTCGTGGAGGCTACTTTACCCTCTACACTCCGGATTAGCTTCTGCGTATCGAGGCCGAAGCCATGAAAGTCGGTCCTAAGGAATAGATCGACGTGGATGGCTTGCATGAAGCGAAACGTGGAGAGCCTGTACCATGCGTGCGCTAGCTCTAGCATCGTGTCCTTGAGTATCGTCCTCGCTTCGAGTAAGTGGCCGTAGCCATTGCGGGTGAGTGACGTCTGGAAGTGCTTAGAACGACTTGCGCTCGTGTGACCGGCGATGGCGAAGGCTGGTGAGGCAGACGCCACCAGGTCATGAAGGTTGATACTGATCGCCAACTGGTCGCCGCCTATCATATAGCCGTATACGTCATCGCGAAGTTCTCGGGCGAACTTCGTCTGAAATAGTTCCAGAACGATTCGCTGACGGTAAGTCATGAAATCTTCCAAATACTGCTGGAGAACGTTCTCGAGCTGGTCTAGTTTTGCGGTGATTTTGGCCAGCTTTTGCTTGAGATTTTGGAATCGTTGTCGGGTCTTCAAGGTGAGATTACTACGCCTTTGATGAGGCCTTGTGCGATTGAGCTTGGCTCGGTCGGGTCCTTCGATGTGCTTCAGGATACGGATATGCCTGAGGGTACTGGGACTATTAGCAGCTGCTATAGCTTCGTGGACCCCAGATGGAACTTACTGGGAAACGTATTCATGGTCGAGAAAGAATCCTGCAGCGGGCGGAGTGCGCACCTCCATGGTGGTGGCTGGATAACTAGTGAGTAGAGAATGTGGTTGAAGAAAGGTCGGGGCGGGTAGTTGAGACTGTAGGGACCGAGGGGTGGGTGCTTCTCTCAACGCGGCGTTGCGATCAGTCATCTTAAGTGCATGTGAAGGGAAAGAACACACGGGCCAGAGACTCAACCTCCGGAGTGAAATATGTGGATTACAGGTCAGCCACGCCAACCTAGAAAAAGCCTAAACAGCCTGGAGCCTACGTTGCCGTTAAGCTACCTACTTTGCAGGATTCTGTCTTAATGTAGCCTGCAGACCTGATTCAACCCAACCAAATCTCTCAGAACTTCAACCCCACCATCTAAGCCCCCCAAAAGCGAAAGCAACATGGCTCACACAGTCGATTTGACTCATGAAAACGTGTACATGTAAGTCATCTCAAAAGCCTCATACAAGAATCTGAACAGGCGAGCTGCAGCATACATGGGGACAAAAATGAAAGTCGCGATAACCCTGAAGGCAATGTAGACACCTGGGTCATCGATGGAGTGGCTGTTCAGTGCTAATATGAGGACCAGCACACTCAGGTATTGCGCACTTATCGACCATGTTCTGAACAAGAACAGTCCACTACTCACGGCGTCCCAAATCGCAAGTCTGGATCGTACGCAGTCAGAATACGAAGACTTCGCCGATGCTCATGTCGAACACTACGCGCAGCAGTCCTGTCGGGAATTGTGTACCGCCATGCAACGTAAGCTTCCCCGCGAGCTGCGGGACATGATCCACGACTACATTCTCTCCCCTACTCGAGATGAGCCCGTCTTCATCAATAACGATTACTTCGATAACGTCGACGAGCCATACCGGGATATCGTTGCAGGTTTCGCCGAGGAACGCGGATACGGATACGCGCATATGTGTAGCGAGGGATTTGTTGATCTCGACACTATGAGCGAGTTTGCACGTCGGTGGTATCATCATACCAAGTTGTGGCTGTTCCTCACACCTGCGGAGGTCGCCGAGTTCTTCGAAACTGACATCTGGGGTCTCGGTCTGGAAAGCGATCGTCTATTGCGCCATCTCGAAGTCGAAGTGTGCGGAACAGAATACGAAGATAATATCACTCCGCTCCAGCAGTGTCTCTTCAAGCTCGCGCCTGGCGCATCGATCGTTTTCCACCTGCGAGTCGCGTTCATTTATGGCTACGGTGAGTTCACGTATGACGAGGATTTCACCATGTTCCTCCTCTCCGAACGCGTGAGCGAGCTATTTCCTCTGATGCGGCAGCTCATCGACGTTGGCTATGAGTTGTACGGGGCGCTCGATGGGTATGAAGACTTTCGCGTCACTCCCGCTACTCTGGACCGAGAAGTTTGGAAAGACACGCTGATGAAGCATTGCGAAGGCCGCGATTGTAGGTCAGTCCTGCTGATATTAGGAGGCTTTGCTGACCAAGAACAGGGTGGTGATCGACACGTGACTGCGGGTGGCCATAATGCGACTGGGAGTAAATATCCTCACAGCTTACTACAAGTGAGTGGGTAAGCGCGATTGAACGGGCGTATGCTATATGTAGCGTGCAATCAACTACTTGTTCTCATAATCTCGGCCGTGTACGCGTATGTATCCACCTTCCTCACATGAGTGCCGCCATTTGCAAAAGGCAGTCGCGGTGACTACCTCCTCGCTTCTGCCTCGCGGCATCCGCTGCGCATGCTATATGTTCGAGGTCCAGCGCGGAAGGTGGAGGTGAAATCGTCGCGTTGTCGCACGGTGGTTGGGTGATGTCGGCGTCTAGGGCGCGAGGGGTCGCGAATATCTCCGAACATGGGACCTGTTGACTCAGAAGGTATATTGGGAAGCTGCTCGCCAACATCTGCAACCACACACTCTGAATTATCAATTCAAGCACAAAATGGACTCAAAAATCTTCCAATGGGAGCGCACTATCGCTTCGGGCACCTACCTTATATCCTCCGACCGGTCGCTGCTTCCATACACCTTCGTCCAGGAAGCCTACGCGACAGACGCCATGTTCTGGGCGAAACCGCTCTCTTTTACGGACCTGTCGACCATGCTTGACAACAGTCTCACTCTCGGTGTGTACTCTGTCTCGGACGGCGTCAAGAAGCCTATTGGCATGGCGCGCTTCATTACCGACTACACGACACTCGCCTACCTCACAGACGTCTACCTCGTCCCCGAACACCAGGGCCAAGGACTCGGCAAATGGCTCATCGCATGCTGTCGCGAGATCTGCGCCGGAATGGAAAACCTCCGGTGGATGGTCCTCTTGACCGGCGGCGAGCAAGCGCAAGCGCTCTACAGGAAGGAATTGGGCATGACAAAGCTTGACGGGGTGGAGGAGGGGCTGGTTTGTATGGGGGCTCGGCGGGCAAAACTCACCGAAGCAGCGGGCGCTCCGCCCTCAGCATAGCGGGACCTAGCGGTTTGCCGTCTACGCACGTATGCAGTTCCCTACCTTAAACATGGACGACTATTCCTCGCGATCAGACGCTACAGTGACAGAAACGTGGTTTGATGGTTGGTCTCGACTGATGACAACGGCTATCTTTGCTTCCGGACTAGTCGCGGGCCCATGCTGCATGCATGTCATCTCTAGCGTAGATATCGCCATCCATTTTTCTTTATCACCATAGACTACTGGTCTGGCTCGCGCCCTCGGCCTCCTGGTATGTTCCGAGTAAGCGGACGAGGCCTGAAGCCTGTTTCGAGCCGGCATGCGACGAATTGTCATCATGGAGGGGCTGTCAGGCCCTCCAGGGCTTGTTGCAACTCCGTCTGGTGGTTGTGTCGCGTCGCGCTGCTTCATCGATAAGTGTATTACGCCTACTAAACTGGGATCCGCCTCCGATGCTGCCCGAGGAAGACTAATCTAGATCGCGCATGTGTAGACCTGTCGCATAGATCGCCAGGGCCTTGTTGATATACAGCTGCAGTTGACCCTGCGTTCACGTCACGTCCGCCGATCTTCCACATTTCACACCAACATGACCGCGACATTTGAGACCTCTCCACTATCACGCACATCGTCCCCGCCAGCAACACTCAAGAGAAAACGAGCGGGTTCTGATACCCAACCTCTTACCCCGCCGTTAGCCGCAAGCGACTCTGAAGGATCGCGTCTGCTCTCGCGCGCCGTCCACGTTCTTTCGACTGCTGCCACCGCGCTCTCGCAGGTCACTTTTCTCTATGAGTCCGACCATGTGGCGCGCGATGGTCTCCTCCAGGCTGTCGAAGTCATCACAAAGACCAGCCAGACTGGCGGTAAACTCATAATATGCGGAGTGGGCAAAAGCGGCCTGGTGGGGCGCAAGATGGTCGCGACGATGAAGAGTCTGGGCATAGCGAGCTCCTTCATGCACGCTGCTGAGGCACTGCATGGGGATCTCGGCGACATCAGGAAGGTGAGTTTCATCCCAAATCCCGAAAGATGAGAAATGTACTGACTACAAGTAGAACGATGCGATCATGTTCATATCCTACTCGGGCAAAACAGCAGAGCTCATGGCCCTCCTCGAGCACATACCCTCCCACACCCCCATCCTCGCCATCACATCGCATACGAAACCCTCAGACTGTCCGATCCTTGACGACCGGCCGAACTCCATACTGCTGCCTGCGCCCATACACGAGCTGGAGGAGGTCTCATTTGGAGTCTGCGCACCGACGACTAGCACCACTGTCACCATTGCTGTGGGCGATATGCTGGCGTTGACCGTCGCAGAGGCCCTACATCAAGATGAGACGAAGGCGGTGTTTAGGACGAATCACCCTGGCGGTGCGATTGGTGCGAAGTCGAGACGGATACAGAAGGAGGATGATACCCAGGTGGAAGCGAAGGAGTGCGATGGGCTGGTTACGCCGCCGGCTACCTGATCGTGCTCAGGAGGATACCATGCTCACCAGGAGATGGAGACGTGTAGATCGTGTAGATCATGTACATGCGCAAGGAACGGCCGTAACGAACCAGAGGGTTTTTGCCCCATGTTCTTCACCCACAACAGCACAGTGATGTTGCGACCCCACGCAAGCTAGTGGGTGGTACCTTCCCGTTCCATCTGCAGCCTGCACTCACTTTAACCCCTCCACTCACTTTAACCCCTCCACTCACTTTTCGTATGCGTCACCATACAGGTTTCTTGTACACAGCCTCCATTACCGTGCATAGATTGGACGACAGCGCTGATCGACGCGCTCACATTGGACGTCTGCAAGGTTGCGGCACAGCCTCGCTATGGGTGGTACAATGAGGGGTTGCCTTGCGCGCCTTCCGTCTCCCATCTCAAGTATTTTCGAATTCACGCACGACGTGCCATCTCGGCCTTCGCGCAGCACCTATCATGGAAGCCTTAACAGCGATTGGCTTGATTGCCAATATCATCCAGTTTGTCGATCTCGGCGCGAAGCTTGTCGGCTCTGCGAAGGAGATGCGCGACTCTGCCAGCGGCATGACGGTGGAGGACAAGAGCCTGGAGGAAGTCACCATTGAGATGCGCGATCTCACTTTGAGGCTGGAGGCCCCTAAGACGCGCGCAAGCAGCCAAGATGAACGAGCCCTCCGTCTGTTAGCTCAAGAATGCCGTGAGCTGTCAGATCAGATTCTCCGCCTTCTGAAGAAGATTGCCCCCAGTAAGCCGAACTCAACCCTTCGTTCGATTCGATCAGCAATCAGGACTATCAAGTACAAGGACGAAATGAGAGAACTCGAGGAGAAGCTAGCAAAATGCCGTAGCCAGCTGCATCTGCACCTGAGCAGATTGACCAAGTCAGTCATTGTCAAGCTGACGCGCATCGCATTGTTCTAATACTCAACTAGTCTGGAAGTAAAAGCACAACTCCAGGCTCTTGGAAGACTTGAGAGTTCGAACGAAGATATGTGGCGCGTATTCGACCAGCAGATGGAACAAGTCCGCCGAGGCACATGTGTTGCTTCCCTGAGTGTCGAAGCCCAGGATCAGATCAAAACCCTTCTAGGACTGTCAAGATTGACTATAGAAGGAAATGCAGCACGTGCAATTTTGCATCTTCTCGCTTTCGATGAGATGCGCACCAGAGCTGAAACCATACAGGAAGAGCATTGCGACACGTTTCGATGGATCGTTGACCCAAGTGCCAAGGTAGATAACACAACTCTGGCCAGCAACGCACGTGAGCTATATCTATCGTGGCTCTCCAGAGGCCGTGGTATATTTCACGTCGCTGGGAAGCTAGGATCTGGGAAGTCCACACTCATGAAATTCCTGTTCGATCATCCTGAGACAAGAAAGCAGTTGTTGGAGTGGGCAGGTTGGTGCTCACTCAAGATCGAGACGGTGGTAAGCTGACGACTTGTAGGTGACGCAAAACTTGTAATGACCAACCACTTCTTCTGGAAACCTGGAAAGCAGCCGTTACAGAAGTCATTCAATGGAATGATGAGATCACTTCTTTTTGACATACTGGGAGCTCATCCTGATCTGATCAAGATCGCATTCCCAAGTGATTGGGCGGTCCTTGTAACGGAGGACAGATTAACATTGTTTCAAAGCCCGATGCCTCTGCAAAAAACTCTCGATGCTCTGTTAGCTCTTCTGAAGAACGAAGCCGTTCAGAGATCTTATCGATTCTGTTTCTTCATCGATGCTCTGGACGAGTTTGAAGATACCCCCCAGCACGATGATAAGTACATGGTCGATGCACTTCGCTCTTGGGTTCAGACTGCACCGAATGTTATCAAGCTATGCGTATCCAGTCGAGAACATAATGTGTTCGTGAACGCATTCGCCGATGGCCCAAGGATCCGGTTGCAGGAACTGACTAGGCACGATATGGAGTGTTTCACACAGTCCAAGCTCGGATCTATACATGAAGCCGCCATTCGGGAGCGCCTCACACACGACATCGTCGACAGATCGGACGGTATATTTCTCTGGGTTGTTCTCGTCATCAAGCAGCTCCGCCAAGCTTTGGAAGATGGTCGCGACACATCGTCTTTCGAGGAGGAGTTGGCGACGCTGCCCTCCGAGCTGGAAGAATTGTTCGAGCACCTTCTCAAATCCATACAGAAATCGCAGCGAAAAAAAGCGTATCAGATCTTTGCTATGGTACAGGAACACGAGACTTTACCACACAGGCTGTCGCTGCTGTCTTGTCTACACATAGACGCATATCAGGCATACGGACAACTGGCAATGAAGGAACCTTCTACATCACCCAAGCTGAGCACCCAAGACGGATTCGACCCGCATATATGGTACGAATCGCAGATCAAAAAAGCACGTATACTGCTACAAGGCTATTGTAAGGGACTAGTCGAGGACCGGCCCGCCCCTGAAGTCCATAAAGTAGATGACATCTTGCATGACGGGCGTACTAAGGATTGGGACAGGCGCGACTGGCCGAAAGATCACGAAACGTTCCCCAACACTTCTAAGCCAGCCGGGTCGAGATGCATCCTATTCGTTCATCGAACTATTGTTGAGTTCCTTGAACGCCCGGCTGTTCTTGAAACCACGACAATCCAACTAGCAGGATTCGATGTTATTGAAGCCATCTCTCAATTACATTTGGCAGAGTATGAAGCCACACCTTGTTCTCTGATTGACCCGCTGTACTGGTCATATCTGTACGGTAATCTCATGGATCTGCGGTTTCACGCTGGCAAAGACAGGTCGCACTTCGAATTCCTCGTGAAATTGGAGGCTGCGATCTCAGAAAAATTCCCAGGTTGGCTGGAGAATAAACTACCTCCTTCCAGGGAATATGTCCTGGACATCTATCATAAAAACTTCGTTTTGAAAGCTCAAGGAACGAATGGAAGTTTCGAAAGTTGGAAGGACCATGTGAGAATCCCGCTCACTACTCCGGTTTCAATTTCGGCCTGGCTTGGTAACGCCGCATACATAGTCTGGCGGATCACAAGGTCTCACGAACCACCACTGTCGGATCAGCTGGCTGGTATCGTTCTACATTGCTTGGTTCACAGCCTGTCAAAGATCGAAAGAACTGAAGATCTCAAGACAATCGTGATCTGCTTCGAGTTACTCTTGAACGACAACGCTTCACCTTCTGCACATTTCTTGTGGCCTAGACTCCTCATTGATTGTGCGTGCTCCACGCGGCATAGTGAGCCATCGTGGTCTCGTGCTATAGGTCAGCTGATCGTACTATTCCTGAAGCGATACAAAGAAAAAGGTGTCCACACCACGGAAGTGTCGGTCAGCAGCAACATGGTTATGGGAGAGACACAAACATGTTGGTCGGTTTCGGTGCAGGGTGATGATGTACTGGTGGAATATATCGTGCCGGAAGCTGGAACAGCTGGCGATATCTTAAACAATCGTTCCCGTGGGATGGGTTCGTTGGAGAAGCTGGTGAAGTTATGGAATCTCGAGAACGAGACGGAAGTTCTTGGACTCATTCAACAGGCGCATCTGGCAACTGCTAGTAACGAGCAAGCCGCAGACCTAGTCGCAACGGCCCAGGCAGGCACTAAGGAGAGCTTGTCCAACGACAACCCAGCTTCGTGTACGACATCCGGATCGCTTCAGAGGATTGACAGTGCCGCCGAGATTCGAAGTGAAAGCGGCGTAGAATCGTCTTGCTTGCCCGTCGAAACAAAAGCAGACATCGCTCATCCCCACTCTGGTCGTTCATTCGGCATCATGGCGGTTATTGCTCTTTTAGGTGAGAACGATACATTGAAAAGTCGAGAGGCTGTCACTAATACGAAGACTAGTATTGCTGTTAGCTTTTCTCATCGCTCATCAAGACTATCGGGGTCGATGGTCTTCTTTTATGGTACACTGAACAGGTCTGGAGCCTACGTCGACGCTAGGTCACCTACTCTGCATTTTGGAAGTTGATGTAGGGTGCAGACCTATTTCGCTTTTTCCTTAGATCGACGTGCGAGGATAGATCGCGTCTTGTATTCTATGGATGGTTTACCACAACCTTGCGAAACAAAAAGGCTGATTCGATGCGCAACCACCTAGTGAATGTCTTTCCTGTCGCTGAGACAGCTTCTCTTTTCTTCTAGTACATAACCGCGTCTTCACGCCGACATTGCTTCATTCCCACCATCAATTCACTATATACACCCTTCATTCACAGTGGCGCAGGTATATACATTCACACCACACATCGATCTAGCACTTTACCGTACGTTCTACGACACCGCACGCCGACCCAGCATATCGTTCATCAACACCATGGTCTCACTCGCACTGTCTCGTCACGACCGGCGATGGCTTCGGATGTATAAAAACGTCCCCAGTATGGCTCCCAGTTGAAGGCATCACATCAACGCACACGCACATCTACACAACTTGAAGACCACCACAGTCTTCATCCAACCATCCCAAAAAACACACCAACCAAGTCCCAATTTCAGTAACCAAGCATGCCCTTCGGATCCTTCTTCGGCGGGGACAACCCCTTCAGCTCCGGCCGTTCCTCCCGCCGTGACGCCTACGAATCCTCCAGCCGTGATCCATACGGTAGTGATGGCTATAGTTCTAGCAGAATGACCGAGCCGTTCTCCCAACCTTACGGCGACTACACCAGCCAGCCCCGCCGCGAGACAACTGGTAGTTCTAGACTCAGCCGCGCTGCATCCCAGCGCGACCCCTACGATAGCCGGTACCAGTACCGCGACCTGAGCCCAATGCGCGCTTCCGAGCGCCCGCGCGCTTACACTGGTAGGCATACTTACGATGACCATAGGTCAGTTAGTCCGCTGGGTAGTTCGCGGTTTGAACAACCATCTACTACATCCCGTCTCCTCGCTAGCATGGGTAGGCCCAGCACTTCCTCTTCCTCGTCCCGCACGTCCTCGTCATACGCCACACCATCGTATGCATCTAGCTTCCGCGAGCCACAGCAGACTAGCTTTAGTATTGATCGCGGGTATGAGCGGCCGTCTACATCTGGTGGCTATGGAGGTGGTTTGTATCGTAGTAGCGCGATTCGTGGTAGTGAGGGCCGCGAGGCGCCGCGAAGGATGGGGAGCGATGGTGAGTATGGACCGCATCTAGGCACCCAGCGGATGCCGCAGATGGGGAGTAATTTTCAGAATGGGGGGTTTGGCTGGATGCACTGGTAGGGGATGATGAGCGGGAAGCGGGCGTCGATGTGAAACCCGAGTAGATTGTGTTCTTTCTTTCTGACTTAGGCTTTTATAGCTTGCTTAGAGAGTAGGTAAGTTGGGCTTGTATAAGCGCCATCGTACTTTTTCGCCGCGTTGCTTTGTAGTTCTGTGATCAGATAGTTAGATCTATGCGGTCAAAGTATCGTCAGCTGATCGTAAAACTCACATGTCAAATCCGTGCGTATCCGGTGACTATTTTTGTCAAGTGCATCGCGATTTATTCTATACAACAAGCCCACTCAATCCCCTCTATATGAAAATGTCCACGTCGATGTTACTGCGTAAAACTCTTCATCATCTTCCTCCCCCTCCCCTCACTTTCACTCGCACGCCCACTAACGCCGCCAGCCGTCGTGGCATCCTCATCTCTATACTTGTCCTCCTGTCCATCCTCCGTAATGAGATCATGAGGCAGATTAATCGCGCGATCAAGCGCATAAGGCAGACCGCGATGTCTACCACGCAGCATCATGAAGCAAATCACCACTTTGCCAAACGTGTTGAAGTGGCCAGACAGCGACGTGAGATTCGACGGGTGACCGAGTGAAAGACCGACATTACCGTATGCAGATACGACTTCGAAGAAGATGGCGAAGACGTTGAAAGCCTGTTCATATCGTTAGTACACCGTTCCCAACAACCAAGAAACCCGCTTTGGGAGTTTGATCAACTTACATAGTCCTCTCGACTCATAATCCTATCACTCTCCGCAATACAAATCATGAAAACCCCCAAGAAGATATACCACAAATCGAAACTGAGTTGGTTCCGCATGTGACTGATAAGGTACGTCTTGCCCCCCTTCTGCTCATCGAGATTCTCATCTCCAGCGTAGAGACCCACGGATTTCTCCTCGTAGCTCTCGCTCATGCGTATGCTGATGGCGATGGGATAGATGGAAATGTACATCATGACTAGCAGACTGAACTGAACAGCCGGGTTGACGGCGGCGAGGTTGAAAGTCGCGGTACCGGTGTGGCGCGAAGATGCGGATTGGAAGATGGCGGCGAGGATGCGGGGTCCGACTGGTAGGCTATTTACTTCGGGGTTATCCAGATCGAGGACGACGATGAGGAGGGTGTCGATGAAGTTTAGGGCGAAGAGGATGGATGCGAGGATCCAGGTGGCCGTGCTGGGGAAGAGGAGGGTGTAGCATCGGCGCGGGTGGTCGAGGAGGAAGCGCAGGGATTCTTTGAGGGAAGAAGCGGCGGGTGCGATTTTGTAGATGGACCAGATGAGCAGGCGTAGGAATACGGGGTAGAATGTGTTGCCGGCGAAGGCGAGGAAGGACATTACTAGCATGGGCCAGGTGGCGTCGCGGAAGGTTACCATGCTGTCGGGTGTGAGGGTCAGGCCGAGGTTGTCGACCATGGTTTGGGCGGAGTAGAACGCCCTGGGAGATGTTAGAGATAGCGATGCGGTAGGGGAGGAGGTGAAGCATACCACCACGTCTTATCTTGACCCTGTGATGCGAGGTAGTCTTGATACTTGGCTGGTGCGGTGTGGATCCATGGAAGTAAGCAAACGACTCCAAGCGTGTGTAGGCCGACGAAGTATCCTGAAATAATAGTCAGCATGAGCGAGCCAGATACATCGCTCTCGATACATACCAATAGTTACCTTGAGCAAGACTTGCAGTGCGCGGTACTCAACACCACCCAACTCTTCCCGGGTCATGGAGCTCAAATCGATGGTGGGCGTCCTGCGTGCCGGCTTGTCTTCGCTACGACGGGCGCCGCTTGCGGTACTTCCGAGGACGAAGATGGATGATACAGCGCGGTCTACGGAGGTAGCCTTGCTCATGGTACGCGTGTTCATACTTCTTGTCTCGGATCTTAGGCGACGCAGTGGGTTGCTCGACTCTGCGGCAGGCTTGATGCGGTCTTCATCGTCGTCGTCGTCGTCTTCGTCTGTAGCAATCATGTTAGGCATGTCCTCATGAAGATCCAAACGTGAGCTTACCATCTGACATCGAAGTGATGTGTTCGCCATTGTCACGTTCTCGTGGACCAGGGACATACAAAGCGCCCTTTTCGTTGACATGAGGTCGAGGATCTGGGGCGAATGTGATGCGAGGAGCAGGAGCAGAAGGTTGGTCGTTTGACTCGTCTGCAGTGGCAACAGGCTGCTTTTCCGAGACTGTAGTCTCGCCGGTGAGACCCTCCTCGATCTTTCGTGTGTCGGCGGTGTTGTCGATTGTTTGAGCCCGGCTCATAGATAGTTGCAAGCTCTTGGGTCTACTGTGTGCCGCCGCTATTGGGGGTTAGCTTCAGCTGCAGGCTTAGAGCGACATACAACATACCAATGCCCTTGAGCTTCTGCTTGAACCAGCGTAGTCGCACAACGACAACGAGTACGTTGATGAAGCCCAGATTTGTAACAATAGGCGTGATGTAAACAAAGATCTGCTGGTATGTCGTGAGAGCCTTGACATCAACACTAATGCACCGTCAGCACGGCATCCATCCCAGTACATCAACCCAAACATACGGGTTCAAGCCAGATTCAGTCGACGCGCTGACACCAAAGTAGTACGCATCGATAGCCGAGAGATTGCCATAGGGATAGATGATGATCAGGGCCAGAATCCCGAAACTGAGAATGTATGCATCTACACCCCGTTAGCCATGCCGCTCCCGGATCAGACGGAACCGTCTGCAACTTACAATGCAGCGTAATGAAGTTGATTGGCGGCTTCCACATATTGCCTTTGTCGCTATGCGCTCAATCCGCAGTGACACACTGAGGGATTATCGCTACGTGCAGCAACGCAACGAAAGCGCAAGGGCGAAGTAAGCGAGAGGAAGAAAATAACTCTTTCGTGTTCAAAGCCCAGAGTACAGAAAGCTACCAGTGTATTGGGAATGGAATAAGAAGGAGAAGAAGAGGAGTGCAGAATCACCCAGAAAACACGTGAGCTCCAGCGCAATACGGCCTGGGTACAAAAGCCCAGCGAAATAATCGTATGAGGGATTTATCTCGCGATCAGCGGTGTTGCTCAGCCACTGCCATCGTGGGCCTGGTTTTGCCTATTGCGGCGACGAAACCGCACGTGAAAGTAGGATGGGCTACATTTTACTTGCTTCGCCGGCGTGCGCCAAGGGGGGGATAATTCGCGCATTGTGATGATGTCGTGGTTGTGGGAAGGCGGTGCTTTGCCTACAAGCTTCTGGCTGCGGACTAGCGCGGACCCCTCCCGCTGCGTGAAAGCTTGTTATTGGTTGGTTGATTTACGTGTATGCAGGTGCGCGATCGCTTGCACGGTGGGGGTGTTATTGCACATGGTATACTCGTGGGCTTTGCTGGTTGTGATGCAGGCGTTGTCGCGCGTAGCTCGCGATGGCTTGCGGAACCTGTGGGATGACTGCTTGGTGACGGCCTTGAGGGTGTCCACGGCAGTTCAAATGACCGCAAAAGGGCCACGACGTGTGGTGCTAGTGCATCCCATTCAGCCGTAGCCATGTCGTCCAGGGCGAGTCCAGGAACGGAAGACTTTACGTTTAGAATCCTCACCCTTTTCGAATTATTCGCGCAACACGAGACAGGATTTCCTGGCTACGCACGCTTGATCAAGCTCACACCGCCCAGTCAGATATGATCGTGGAGTTCGATTCCATTACGCCGCGCTCGACGAACGCTTCCGTTCGCTTGCACATTCGTAGAACCCTCGAGACGCACTTCTAGTAACGCGGTATGCGGAGCAGTCCAATGCGCACGAATTATGACGGATTTGATACGAAGCCAACGAAGTGGCGTGAAGCTCATCGCGACCATAAAACACACACCACCTGGGCAGGCACACCCGCGAACAACATCAAGTTATGGCAGTCATATTGGATACCAAAGTACTATGTCAATGACGAATCTAAATCATAACCAGGCCACAGTTGAATTCAGTGGCGCACTCGATTCTCCGTTGCGCACACAAAGCGTTACGATAAGTGTCTAAAATGACTATGCTAATACTTCTAGTACGCCAGAACGTCCCATAAACCACTGGGTCTTTGTAGAACCCCAGGACTCCAGACAAGGCCGCTAAACCCCAAAAAACTCCATCCAAATGGTAAAACGCAGACCATGCGCCGACCGCTTCTACCCTAGAACCCGAGCACCCAAGAGCGCAACTAAAATCATGACAATCGCCGCAACACCCAGCGCATGCGACATCTCCATCTTCTTCCCCACTTTCGCCGTCATCGCGACCGACTGCTGGAGAATAGGCGCAACAACAACAGGAACCTGCACAGCCTGCTCCACCTTATGCTTCATCGCCTGCACCTTCTTCCCACCCTTCTTCCCACGCCGCCTGTTCTTCTTCTTCTGTGCGTTCGAGGCAGCAGCGGTCTCTACGTCGCTATCGCCATCACGTTCATCATCAGTGTCAACGGGGGCAGAAGCGGTGTCATCAGCGTCGACGGGGTCGTCAGTGATCAGGACGTCATACATATTCGAGGGCGCGGCGACCTTGTCTTGTTTGCGCTTCTCGTTGCGCGGCTGGTGAATCGTTTTGGTGGGCGCGGGAGAGGACGGCACAGTGTGAGTGTGCTGTGGTGGCGATGACGGTGGGGATGGGGGAGCGCTCATGAAGGTCTGAACAGGCATGTTTTTCGTTGACGTGGCTGGTTGAACGGGCGAGGGGGAAGGCATGTTGTAGAAGGCGACTACGTCGGCCTTGTGCGCTGCCTCTTCAGGTGAAGATGACTGCGAAGACGAGATCACAGCACCAAAGTCCCTCACAACAACAGGAGACTCAGGAAGCACATCCCCCCCAGGCGCCGACATAACCTCAGCAGACGGCTCGAAACTGGCCAACAAATCGGGAGCCGGGAGGTTCTCACGCTGCTCCGTAGGAGCGGCGGCAGTATCCTTACTGAACGTCGCCGCATACGTGACCTCAGCCCTTGTAGACTCGGCGGCAGCCCTGGCCTTCTCCGTGTACATCTTCAAGGGGGTGATGAGGCCCTCGTTCTCGTCCTCTTCTTCTTCTTCTTCTTCTTCTTCATCTCCTTCTTCATCATCCTGCTCATCCCCCATGAGAAGGTTATATGGATTCGACTTCAACGAAGCCGGGATGGTTGGAGGGGACGAGGCAGGAGTTGCCAGGGACGTGCGAGAGGCTTGCGAGATGGGGGAGGTAGGCGTGGCGGGTGACTTCGAGCCACTGGAGACAGACTCGGATGGAGTCACGGGTTTGGCTTGGGGTTTCGAGCCGGTGGTAGCGGCGAGAGGGAAAGCGAAAGGTGCACCCCAATCCTGATCCCACTCTTGTGCCAATTGTGATAAGGGGATTATCGGACTTCTGCTCCTCGTGCTAGTCGCAGTGGTGCTGGCAGTCGCAGCACGACCGCGTCTGTCTTCGGGGAAAATCGCAGTAGGCACGTGATCCGCCCTTTCCTCACCACCAACTCCAGCCTCAGGCGTCATCTCTTCCTTCCCCAAGGCCCCCACCACCGGTGCTACACCTACCTCTTCCCCATCCTTCTTCTCAGCCACGACATTGGTCTCCGTCACAGCCTCCTCGTACTTCCCAGGCCACGTCCCATTCTCCCTATCCTGCGCCATCAGCCGCGCGATAATCTCCTGGTTCTCACCCGCGTCAGAAATGCAACGCAGCTTTGCCAGTACCATGAGCTCGAAAGAGTTTTTGGTCTCGTAGTGGGCGAGGCTGGCTGCGTGGGAGAAGGGGGGAGAAGCCGCAGGGGGAGGAGACATTGTGGGTGGTGATGGTGTGGTAAGTAGTGCGTGTGTGCGTCAGGATTGTTGATTTGTAATTGAGAGAATAGTTAAGGTCAGGTGTTGGTCGCGGTTGGTTTTATAAAAGTAAGAGGCGTGTTGGAGTAGTCGGGGGGAGAAAGGGTGTGCAAGGGCATTTAAAGTGAGAGAGCGACTTTGCGATCGTGGGCGGTAGAGGGGCGCGTGCGCTGAACCCAGTGAAAATGATTCAGGTTGAATATTGCGCTTCGTGTAAAGGTGCGATAGCGGGTGGAGAAGTGGAGGCTGATGACCGGTACCAGAGTCTATGTCTACCAGTGGGCGGTTGAGCATTCGCGTAATTGCCATTCACGTCCAGTGATCTGGCCACGCACCCCACGAGCGTAAGGGTAGACCCGTGCTTTCACTAGATATGCAGTGGGAACTGTACTTGTCGCATACTTTTGGGTGCGATATTGTGTGGTAATGTTGAATATGGAGCACAAGGGGATGTGGTGGATGGACGGCCACCATCAGGGCTGGTGGAGACATAGGCGCCAATGATGTTGTTTGCTTTGGTATCCAAGGAATGTAGCACACGAGGGGTATCGTAAAGTGACAAACGGCAAAAAAAGCGTAACTTGATAAAACGCCTCTTCTCGCCAAGCGGGAAAGGGTCAGGATCGTGTGTGGAGCAGAGGTGGATCAAAGCATCCAAGTAACCCGCACTTACGGCAATACTGGTATCTTCGTAATCCATTCCTCGATCTCCCAGCCGTTATCTTGATATAACTTCTGGAAGTCTGATCGGAACTGTGCTGCTTTTGTGACAATCTCCGCGACGCTGCGATCGCGCAAATGGCCGCTAAGTGGATGAGATGAGTCGGGACGGCAATACGTTGTGAATATCTTCTCGAAGACTTGAGGACCTAGAGTACATATTAGTATGACGGCGATGAGCTGTGAACAATGACTTCCAACGTACCAGCAAGATGTCTCAAACCTTCGAGCAGAGCAGTCTCTTCCTGTTCGGTCCACTCCGGCTTATTGCTCAACGCCGATGCTTGACGATGCGGTGGAGCTGAGCGAGGTGTGAATACTGGCAATCGCTCGAAAACAACACCGTTGGCGTCTCTCTCCTCCAGGTCTTCGAGTCTTGTGATAGCCAGCTTGCTCCTTCTGCGCGCATCGGGCTCGCACGTCAGGCGCACGATGTGCAGAGCTTGCCAACATTTCCACCGTTGCTTTCGCGCTTCCTCAAGTTCGGCTTTGCGGTTCTCCTCCTCTTCTCTTTCTTGCATTCTGCGCTCGAAGTCTTCTTGTATCTTGCGGTGTTCCTCCCTGGCCTTGAGTCTACTAAGGTGTCCGCGATACGTCTTGGCAACCTGTCGAAGATGAGCAATGAGACCAATATCAACATCCTTGATGATTCGGTCGCCCTTGGAGCGTTGAGGCACGGTAACATTCCACTCAGTAATGATGTCTTTGAAAGCCAGTATTCGGTCCATCAGGGGTGATAGAATCTTCATAGCCTCCAGCGACTCGGTCACTTCACCACCATTGTCCTGTAGCCACGTATACAATGCTTCGAGATACAGTGTAAGAGCCCGGAAGACATGACGATAAGCATCTCTTTTGAAGGCGCGCTGGTCCTTCTTTTCGACATCGATACTGATCTGTCCGAGCGCTCCTCGTAAATCGTCGGCTTCATCGACGAGAGTGTCTATGGAAAGGTCACCCTCCTGAAGGTGGGCTCTGTATGTCTTGCATGCGCGTCTGATGGTGGTAGCCAGCTTGGTTCGGCACTTTCCTGGTCGTACCTCTAGGTTGAGGAATTCAAAGACGGTTTCGATGCTCCCAGGCCTTCCTGCAGGGCGCGTTATGCTATCAGCTTCCTCAGCTACGCTGCTAGCCTCGTCTTCATCCGAGTCGTCCCCAAACGCGTCAATAACCTGCGCGTGCTCAGTCTCTGGAGCATTAACAACTTCCGCAGCTTGATTGGGCGGCTCTGCGTGCTTTTGCAATCCTCCCACGTTAGCGGGTAACTGCTGGCTTGATTCAGGGGTATCGTTGGTGCGTTTCTTCCGAGGTTTCAATTTTCGTGCGGGAACATATAGGAGTTTTAGGAGCTCCTTCTCTTTCTGCGCCAAAGTCCGCTCAGCGCCTTCTTGCGTGCTTTGAACATCTTCATGTCCGGTCGCAGTCGCCACATCCTGTTGTTGCGAGCTGCGCCGGACCGGTATGCGTACTTGTGGGTGACTCTTTCTCGATGCGCTCGATTCGCCAGTCGTCCGCCTTTGTTTCCTCGGAATCTTGGAGGGCTGTCCTTCGCTGTGATCCGACTCCGACTTCCGTTTCGACGTTCTCCGTGTACTGCTATTGTCCTCCTGCGCACCAGCAGGTTCTCCATCTAGGCTTGTCGTACCAGTGGGATCGACCACGCCATTGCCGCGTATGGGCGGGGCTGCTTTAGATGGGGTGTCTTCCGGCGGTGCGAGCTCCGGCGGCGAGGAACGTATTTCGGGTTCTGCTACTGCCAGATCCTCCACCCGCTCTTCTTCATCCACTTGTGGCCCAGCGTCATGGTACACCGGGAGCTCTGACGAAGGCGCGGGGACGTCACTCCGCTCTTCGACTGCCTCCACAGTGGCCTGCACCTTCTTCTTGGTTGGCTTCTTTTTCTCCTTCTTCTTTCTATTAATCTTCAACGGCTTGTGATTGACTTTCTCTGGCAACGCGTATCGACCCTTCTCGGGGCTCAACTCAATCTCGTATGGGTCTCCTCGTATTGCGAGGTTCTGTCTGGCTCCCTCGGGAAGTATGCTAACTCGTTTGAGCTTTCCAGGACGCGCTGCGTTGAGGAGGTTGGCGCCGAGGACTGCGGACGACGAGGGTGGTTTTGCGCTTGGGGAGTTGGACTCGGCGAGGAGCTGTTGGGTTGCAGCATTGTCGTCTGAGGAGGGCGAGGAAGGCTTGGGAGCTGTAGTATGAGCGTCAGCTTATATAAGCTCGGATGGAAGCCCCGTATAGGATTGTGTAGCTGGTGGGCATGTGGGAGAGCTTCGCGCGTCTACCCGCCAGCTCGACGGCAGCTCCGACACGACGTACCTGCCTGCTTGGGCGCATCCTTAAGCCGCGCCATATAGTGAGCGTCAATAATACTAATGCATCCGTGCTAACGAAGGTATCCGAGCGATGACGGCGATGTGGGGGGAGAGTGAAGTCATCCCCGCGGCCAAAAGCATCCAACGCTGTCAAGGCGCGAAAGAGTGGGCCCATCCCCGAAACACGCTATCACATGAGATCGTCCCTGCCCACTAACCCCCAAACAACCACCACATCACATACCCCGCCATGTCCTCAAATCCATCCAAAGCACCTGTACTAGAAGTACTGAGTAGAGATGCATCGCACAGTTTCCAAGTCCCCGCGAAACGCATCCACGATGGCGACGACGTCACTTTCTTCTTGGCAAGCAGAGCCTATGCCGATATCATGACTTTCATCTTCCAGCTCAACACGGCCATGATACCACGGAAGATCAAGAGCGAAGATAAGAACAGCACAGAAACGGCGAAGGAGTGGAAGTTGCATGACCCGGATGTGCCCCATCCACCCGTTGTGCAAAGCCTCGCCAAGCTCATCTCTAGCCTGACCTCCATCATCGATGAAGCGCCACCAGATCCCGGACCGCGTCGTTTCGGAAACGTAAGCTTCAGAACGTGGTACGATATCGTCAGAGAACGGGTTTCTGGACTGTTGGATCAGTATCTGCCGGAAGAAGTACTGTCCTTCAAATCCTCATCCGACGTCTCAGCCAAAACCGAGTTGGAAGCGTATCTTATCGGCAGTTTTGGAAGCTCTCAGCGCCTAGACTACGGTTCAGGGCATGAACTGAGCTTTCTCGCGTTCCTCGGCTGTCTCTGGAAACTCGGAGCTTTTCCCGCGTCGCAGGATGGCGAGCAAGAACGCGGCATTGTACTTGGGGTCATCGAACCGTACCTCGAATTGATTCGCCGACTCATCTTGACATACACCCTTGAACCTGCCGGGTCGCATGGCGTATGGGGACTGGACGATCATTCTTTCGTACCTTACATATTTGGTAGCGCACAACTCTCACCAGCCATCAACACACCCGCAGACGTGGCAGCAGAAGGCTCATTGCCATCCGCTCCCCACCCAGGCGATGTAGCAAAAGCACCAGCAGTCGCCCGCGAGCGAAACCGGAATATGTACTTCAGTGCCATCGGCTTCATCTACGACGTCAAGAAAGGTCCATTCTGGGAACATAGCAACATTCTCTACGATGTCTCCGGTGTCAAGGCAGGATGGGCCAAGATCAACAAGGTTAATACCATGACACTCTTGATTACGTGTATTGACTGACCCCACATCAGGGAATGATCAAGATGTACAACGCAGAAGTCCTCTCGAAATTTCCTGTCGTCCAGCACTTCCCCTTCGGCTCGCTGTTCTCCTTCTCTGCCGATCCGAATGCCAAGGCCATTCAAGCAAGTGTCCACACAGCTAGTCAGCCAAAGTCAAGTACACCATCTAACACGGCACCAACTGCAAGACCGCAGCCCGCGTTAAGAGACCCGATGGCTGAGGCAGCGACTGGCATGCCAATTAGAAGCATGCCTGGCGGTGGGGTTGGGACCGCGGCGCCATGGGCTAGTGCTGGTACTACAAGGCCGGGTGGTGGCATGCCAGCTGCGACTGCTGCGCCCTGGGCTAATGCCAGAGGTGCGGATACGGGCGTACCCAGTGGCCCGAACCAACCTACGAAAGCACCCTGGGCGAGTCGAACGCCTGCACCGCCCCCACTGGGAAGTGGTACTGCAGCACCCTGGGCAAAGGGGAATGCTGGAAATGCGCCAAGTGCACAAGAGGGCACGAAGGCGCCTTGGGCGAACAAGAGATGAGATGTAATGGGCAATGCAGGTATGTAAAGAGATGATACATGTCTTGTCAACGATTATACCCGGCCAAGGCTCGATTCCATCTCGTCTAGCGATACAAAGCCATCAGCATAAATCTACCCAGCCAGTGCCGCAAGCGCACAAGGAATTAAGGTTATTAACGTTCCTTGCTCCCTCCACTGTCCTTCTCCTTACTACCCTTCTCTCTACTCCTCCTCTCCTTGCTACCCCTCTCAGCTCCATCCCCTCCACGCTTCTCCCTTTCCTCGTCCCCGCCACCATTCCCATCCCCATCCCCATCCCCGTCCTTCCCTCCTTCCCCCTCACCCCCATCCCCACTCTCCTTCCCCCCCTCCCCCCTCTTCCTCCTATTATCCAAATCAAACTGCAACCTCGTCCGATTCAACATCAACTCCGCCACCCTCTCTCTCTGCACATACACAGTAACCGCAAGATCAAACAGAGCCATTTCTTGCTCTTGTGTGTATTCGCCTTCGCCCACACCGAGACTCTCGTGGGGTTCGGGTATCTCGTCCGCGCCGAAGAAGGAGTCGGAGGGGGAGGGAGGGGAAGGTGGTGGGTGCGGGGGATCTGAACGGGGTTGTTTGGTTGGTTTGGAGGGTTTGGAGGGTATGGGACTGCGGTTGCGGCGTTTTTTGTGGTGACGGTCTTGGCTGGGGTGACGGTCTCGACTATGACGACGGTCTGGACTACGCCGGCGATCTTTACCACGGCCATGTGAAGAGCTGCGACGACGTTGTCTACTTCTCCGTCGTTCTGGACTTCCTTCTCGCCCTCGACTACGCTGCCTGTCTGCGCCACGGCTCCGCTCTCGACTCTTCCTCACCCCTCTACTCCTCACCCCCTCCTCCCTCCTAACCTGCCCAGAAGGCGGTGGACTCTGTTCACGCGGCCGTTGCGACACCGGTGGGGCCCGTCGCGATGAAGCGCGGTCAGGCCTTGCAGAGCGTCCCCGTGGCTTTTCTACACGATCTCCTTCTCCTCTGTACCTATCATCCCTCTTCACTAAGGGCCTCGATCGACTCCTACTCCTACCCCTACTCGGACTGCGACTGCGACTGCGACTGCGACTCCCATCCCCCGATCTAGGAGAAACATCACAACTCCCCCCCATCCCCGTCGTCCGGTGTCTCCTCGCCATCCTCTCCAATTCCCCGCTAGTAAGAGCCCCCCGCCTCCTCCTCTCCTCAGACCGCGTGGTACGGCGGGCCGGCTGGTAGTGGTCACAGTCTTTCCCATAGCGGTCATAGCCTTTCCCAGTCCCATCCCGTCCTCGCCCTAGCCCCCGACATGCACCAGGACCCCTTGGCCCTTCACTCAAGGATAAGTACGAGAGAAGAGATAGTGCGTCGTCGTCGTCTTGCTGCGAAGGGTAGTGTCCGGATCCGGAGCGGAACTCACGGTCTAGCTTGTGCAGGCCTGAACTGAAGGATATGGGGTTGGCTTTTGTGCCTGGTGCTGGTGTGTCGGGACGTGCTTCAGCCGTTCTTTTTTGGTGGTAAGCGGAGGGGTCTTGACGGGGCTTCGATGTGTTTTCTCGGGGTGGTGCCATGGCGTCTCGGCGTTCTTTAGACGGCGTGTCTCTGGGAAGTGGAGGTGCGTCGCGCAATGACTTTGATACTATCGGTTTCCCTGTTGTCATGGATAGTGGCACAGGCTCTGCATGGCGGGTCGAGCGCGGCGGGATGCCGGTTGGATTCGCTGGCGTTGCGGTCGCGATACGTGCTCTTACTTCTTCTGTCTCTTTCTTGTTGGCCATGGTGAAGTGCTTGGCTAGCATCGCTGGGTCTAGTTCTCTTGGTTTGCGCTCTTTTGAATGCCTTGCTCCATTGCTCTCCTCAATCTTAGAGCGCTTTATGAGAGGCTCTCCGAGTATTTCGCCGCCTCCGAATGGTCTTTTTCCGGTTTTTGGTGGTGGTGGGGGTTGTGCACTCGTTGGCTGTGTTTTATCCGCTGGCATGTCTGGCGTAGGAGCAACGCGGAGGAAACCGTTGTTCTCCTGGTGCGAAAATCCTGCGACTGGTGTTTGTTCGTCTGCCATGGTGAGTATGAGATGAGGTAATGATAGTTGCTGTACAAAAATGTTGAGGTGCGCAATACGATGAGTGGGCTCTTGTGATGAAGAAGATGCTCGCTCACTTGCTATGTATGTTGAAGTCTTTGTTCACTATGCGTTTTTAGCAGACAATCGCCCACCTCCATTGCGCCTTTCACTCATCGACTATTATGCTGGGACAACAAAGACTCGAACGAGCTCAAAGCGTCGTAACAATCCACGCTCCAGCACAAAGCCCCTCACCCCTGATTTCGCCAAAGTATGATGGCAACATACACGCGTCTTCACCGTATTGTTAATACTATCCATAACCCTGGCTACTACACAGGCTTCCCATGTGCCTTGCGTTATCTACAAGTAACGTTGTAGGATTTGAACACATACCTGGCTTTAGTATCCGGCGTTCGCAACCACACTGTAGACTCAAAATCCACCAGACTGTGTTCGTATATATGATAGTCAAAACAACGTCACGAACAGGACTTGTAGAATTTCCATAGCTGGCGTCCCTACGTATTAGCGCGACGGGTATATATTACTATGAATTCAACTTGTGAACATCGACCATGACCAAACAGCCCGTTGTTATCTTCTCGTGTCGAGACGCGGTAACGATTACGCCTTTACAAGCATCAGTGCACGGCAACAGACATGGGTCAAATTGGATAATGAGCTTTCTTGTATTGATGTCGAGATGGTTGATCAGATAGAAGATTATGTCACTATTCGCCTTGATGTTGAGTTTGAAAACCATATAGACCTCGCGTATAAGTCGTATAGAATGCGGGAGGTGTGGTTCTCAGCAAGGATCCACGTCGATTCCAATTAATCTCCGAGAGCTTCTTGTCCCCAACGCGCATTCGAGCAAGTAACGCCTCCAGTTTGACGATGTGAGCATCAGTGTGCAGCTTCATCATGTCATAAATGATATCCAGTTCACAAAATACTTCCAGCCTGCGAATCGATCCATAGCGGAGCGGACCCGCCGTGCCCCGAATCTGCGTTCCATCGAGCTTCGCGTAGTGGGCGTCAACCTTAGGGATGATTGATTCGAACCTCGCCAATATGTCACTGAGCGGGATGTAGTTTGCTTCATCGAGGTTGTCAGGGAGCTCGTGACAAAGCCGGTTCAATGTCTTGAGTTCTTCATCATAGGTTGTGTTGCGGTCTTCGGATGCAGTGACCTCGTCGCTGAATTCTGATAGCAACAGCCTGTAATGCTGCATCATGTCGTCGCTCAAATCCGAGTCAGTTGGGGGATGTGAAAGAACGGGGCTTCCGTTTTCGGTCTCATCGTCAGTGACCCACTCATCATCAGAGTCTGGGATGGCGGGACGTTTCCTCTTTCCCAGAGAGCTGTGCCTGTAGGATATCAGCGGGTATCGAGATTGACCATGGATTGGTACTCACGATGCAGGTTGGGAGTCCTGATGAGAGGCTTGTGAGGACTTGGTGTCTTCCACGTCCGAGACTAGCGTGTGCGTGGATTTGACACGCTTGTTGGCCTTGCCCTTCGTCTTCCTCTTAGTCGTCATTGTGTGGCTGTGAGGTCGTGAAGGCTTTGGTGAATGTGGGTGGATTTGAAACAAGTAGCCGATGCAAACGAGACGATGATGTGAAACAGGTGGTGGATTCGAAAATTGTGATGGGGGTGGAGGTGTCAAGAACCAGAACCAGAACCAGGCTGCAGAGAAAGACAACCCCGGGGCCACAGACTAGCGCTCCAACCGCTATGACCATGCGTTGAGGTAGTATCGGACGATTTCAGAGCGTTGAGGCAGACCATTGGGCGCGTTGGGTTAGTAACTAGACAGGAGGCAGGTGCGAGCGATGGATGTGGCAGCGAGCAGCCTCGGTCACCCCGAGAAGTTGCTTGAACTGGAAGCGACCTCTGGTGCCAGGTACGTGATGCCTCTCCAGCCTCTAGGAGACGGTCCTTGATGTGTTTGTTGTGATGGGGGTGTCTTGTCATGAGAAGTCATACAAGACCGTTGATTCTAAATAGTTTTGATGGATGGTGAGAGATAACAGCAAGGCTGGACTACATATCAGCTAAAGTTCCGAGGTTCGCGGCTTCCCCATGAAGTTTTCTCACCAAGAAAGAGCACGCGTCACCGCTGCTCACATGCTACAAGCGCGACCAAAGTGACTCTTGCTCACCGGGCGATTGGACGAGTACTGTAGGGGAAGGCGCGGTCATGTACTGGAAGGAGAGACAAGCTGTCTCAGTGGGAAAGACAATCACTGAATTGTCTTCATGGGTCGATTTTGTGTTCCGCAGGATTACAACATAGCCTCTGTAGGATATCGGATCACTCCATCCTCGAATACTCCATCTTGAAGCACCCCATCGGACAATCGTCTTCGTACCCAGCTACGCAACATTCTCCATCAACCCCGCCCCCACCGTCCTCCCCCTCTCCCTAAGCACAACCCTCATCCCCTCCTCCACCGGCAACTCCCTCTCCAACTGCACCACCACCCTCGCCACCTCACCCGGCTTAACAATCCTAGGCTTCTTCTTCACAACCTCACCCGTAAACTTATTCAGCTTAGCACTCAGCGTCCTAATCCCCGCTGGAGAGTTCAGGGTACTTCGGAACACCTCCACAGGCATCGGTAGTACGTGTTCGAAAGCGAGGAGTTTGGATGTGAATGCCTTGACGAGTTTGACGGGGTCGCTGCGTGCGCAGACGATGTCGCCTTGGCGGAGGTGGACGGGGTCGATGTCTGTGAGGTGGAGTGTGGGGATTTGACCGCATACGGCCCAGTCTACGGGGGCGTCTTGTACTTCGATTGACTTGATGGTGGCGGTTTCGTTGGCGGGGAGGGCGAGGATGACGTCGCCTACTTGCAGGGTGCCGGCGTCGATGCGGCCTGATATACTCAGTGGGGAGCGGATGTCGCCGCGGAAGACATCGGCGACGGAGAGGCGGAGGGGCTTCGTGAAGTTTCGGGATGGGAGGTCGATGCGTTCAAGGGCTTCTAGCAGGGTCTCGCCAGTGTACCAGTGGGCGGCAGAGTTCTCGATCTTCTTGACGACGTTCTCGCCAGTGAGACCTGCAAGCGGGATGAAGGTTATCCGCTTTTCGAGGAAGCTGGCTTCGGTGAGGAAGGCAGTCATGCGTTTCGAAATGTCGTCAAAGCGCGATTTCGACCATCCCACAGTGTCCATCTTGTTCACGGCCACGATGATATGTTGCATGCCCATGCTGCGCGCGATCAGGATGTGTTCTTTGGTCTGCCCCTTGAGACCAGACTCAAAGCTGTTCGTACTTGCGTCGATGACCAGGACGGGAAAGTCGGCTTGTGATGCACCTGATATCATGTTGGGGATGAAGTCTTTGTGTCCTGGCGCGTCCAGAATGGTGAACTTGGTCTCGTCTGTCTCGAAGTAGTTGGTAGCAATGTCAACGGTGACACCACGACTCCGCTCTTCGCTTGTTTCGTCCATGACCCAAGCAAGCGCGAACGAAGATTTGCCGATGGTTTCTGCTTCTTTCCGTAACTTGTCTATCGACCGCTGGTCGATGACTTTGAGATCGTAGAGCAACCGCCCCATGAGCGTACTCTTGCCGTGGTCGACGTGGCCTGGGGAAGTTAACATGAGATTTTCATAGCAACGACAACGAACTTTTACTCACCAAGCACTACAAAGTTCGCCAACCGCTTCGAGGCGCTCTTCTCAAACTCATCCATGACGTTCAGGTTCTTGCTCTTCACTCTTGGTTCGTCGGCCACGGTAAGCTTCTCGACCGATTCGGTCAGGTCACCGTTGGTTTGCTTTTTCTTCTTCTTCGGTGTTGTTCCTGTATAATTTAGAGATGTTCAAAAAGAAGTTGTATCAAAATCTAGTGGCGTCCGCCGCCTGCGCCCTTGGCCTGTGCTGCCCGCACAATGTCATCCGGACTCGGCCCAGCAAAAGCACCAGTGCCATCATACGATTTGTACGCAGCAAAAGGTAGTGGAACCTCTTGTAGCGGTGCTTGGGGGTGCTTCGATGACTCGTCAGAGCCGCAAAGGGTGGAAGCGAACATAGAGGCGGTGGCGCGTTGAGCTGGCGATTCGATGACTACGGCAGGCTGGGGTACTTGAGGCTCTTCTATCTCGGGTTCTTTCGGGGCTTCTGGTGCTGGCGATGGCGATCGTCTGCGGATGGGGTATCGAGAAGGACGAGCTGGGCCAGTGCCGCCGAGAGAAGGATTGCCACCCTCCTGGTTCTTCACTGAAAGCTTGTCAAGCATGGCGATGGCCGAATCCGCATCGTTGTTGGCTTTCGAGGCAGCAGCTTCCGCATCTTCTCGTTCCTTTCTTCGCTTCGCCGCAAGAGCAGCCAGCTTTGAGGAGCCCCCAAGTAGTCCGCCTTTGTAGTATGGAGCATCAACGGTGATGACGCCAAGTCGTTCGGGTGGTACGTTGCCCCAGGGCACATCCCAGAAGAAGTCTGTGACAGCGTTGGTAGGCATCGCATCGAGATTGGGGCAACGGTGGAGGATGACAGCGGGGCAGCAGACGCGTCTACATAGCTAGAGTGGAGTGCAAGTGAAGAGATGAGTGCAGTGAGCGTGCTTACCTGCGGTAACCGGCGCATTCTGATCCGCCACACTAGCAGCTTGATCGAACCTTGACGCAGGTTTGGTCTTTTCCTGCTTAGGCCTGCACCAAGTCAGCATCCGTCTCACATACAATTCGTACAGGAATTTTACTGACGCCTCTTCCCTCGGTTCCCCCACCCCAAGTTTATTCTTCAAATAACTAACACTCTTCCCAACATCATAGTAATAATGCCAAAGCGCCTCTTGTATCTGCTCGTCGCTCGTAAAGTCGCTCTTATCCCCCAGCGCCTCGCGTACTCTTATGGTACCTGCACGCATCTGCTCTTTATCGTCTTCTGTCATGCCATCTCCTGCATCGGCTCCACCGCCGGCTTCTTCTTCCTCGTAGTAATCGTCATCGTCGTCGTAGATGTCGTCGTCATCGTAGTCGACGTTGCGCGTGCGCGAGAAGCCGCTTTTGGGAGGCATCGTGGCGGTAGTATTATGCTGGCAGCTCGAGGAATGTGGGAGATGTTGGTTGCGCGTTCGTGAGTCGTTTCGCGGGCGTGTAGAATTCGTTCGAGAGAGAGTAGCTTTCTAGTGTGAATTATCGCGTCCCTTGGTTGACGTCGGTGGTGGGGCTTGCCTTGACGTGTAGCGCGGCTGCTATTTGCCCCGCGCTAGTTGGGAGCTTTGGGCAATGCAATGACGATGATTCGTTTACTTTTCACTAGACAAGAGGAGCTGCAATCATCATGGAAATTGTTTCGATTCAAGTTCAAGCTCGCCAACAGCTCGACACACCCGTCGAAAGATACAGCAGTGGGGTATAGTATTAGTGGAAAGAGACAATGCTGAAAACCCTGGCCCGACACTCGCCCTTCGCCCGCTGTATTCAAAAAAATAGTTTTTGTTGTTTTCTGACCCATTTCTGGTGCGGCATCTCATCAACCGCGCGGTGACGCCCAGTGGCCTCTCTTAAGCCGAGAAGGAGGCTCCCTATTTCTCTGCCTTCTCCTCAGCGGCGGCTGGGGCAGCAGTGGTAGCGGTAGGCTCAGCAACAGGTGCAGGCGCAGGAGCAGCGGGAGTAGGATCCGCAACCGCAGGGGTTGGTGCAGGTGCGACGGGCTCCTCAGCTTGCGCAACGGGAGCTGGTGCCGCAGCTGGTGCAGCGGGCGCAGCAGCCTTGTCCTCGCCAAAGTTGGGCTCGTCGAACATGGGACCGCTTGTAGCGCTCATGCCGGCAGCGGGCTGGCTAGTAGGCACAGCGGGCATTTCTACGGGGGCAGCAGGTGCAGGTGTATCCGTCAACTTGGCCTCAGTCTCCTTGGGGGCCTCGGTGGCAGCGGGCTGCGATTCAGCAGCAGTCGGGGGAGCGGGCGCGACGGCACCAACGGGTTCGGGGGCTGGAAGATGATGCGTTAGTCTGGGTGTCTTGAGCGATGAAAGAGATGTAAGAGATACTACTGAAAACAAATGTCGTATCTGGCGTAAGTCGTAACGTGCTGGTGGAAGTGCGCTGATGCTAACACATAGCCATCCATCTGGTGCAGGAGTCCCACACCTAGATGGGGCCGTTCCACTGGTTGTCTAGGTCGACCTTCTGTCGCCGCCTAGAGCCATCGCAGGCTTCGTTCCCGCGGTATGGTAGTGGACTGGAGTGTGAACGAGATGTAAACCTACTGGACGTGGCCTTCTTGACCTCAGTCAGGGCCGCAGCTTCATCCTTCTTCACCTCGCTCTGAGCTGGATCTGAAGCTGGAGCTGCAGCGGGCTCAGCAGGAGCTAGCACTGGCGCAGCGGGCTCGGCGCTGGTAGCCGCAGGTGTCGTCTCGGTTTTTGCGGGCTCGGGCGCAGTCGCTGGAGCTGGGGCAGCCGGCGTAGTCTCGGTGGGCTTGGTCTGCGCAGGCGTAGCAGCAGCGGCTTCACCCGTGGCTGTGGGCTTTGGCTCTTCCTTCTTGGACTTCTTGCCCCTGAAGAGACCCTTAAAGGCCTTCTTCATCTGGTCCATGGCGTCGAGTGCTGTTGGAAGGATGTGTCAGATAGCGATTCTATGGGTGTGCTCGTGATCACACGGGCTAACGTGGATGATCGTGACTTTTGGGGGGTACGAGTTTGCGCGGATACAAGCAGACATCAAAGTAGCCAACTGCCACGACGAAGTTTGCAAAGATGCAAGCGCATCGAATCCGGAGATGGACTCGATTTGAAGAGTGGAACTGGATGAGGATCGCACTTACGAACTCCCGGCATGCTGACGATGGTGCTAGCTAGCTGCTAGATAAGCTATTGAGGGTTGAGGGACAGCACAAGCGTGCGCAAAGAGAAGCGGGAAAAGAAATGCAATGGATGAGTTGCTAACGGCGGAGGATATCTAGGTCGCGACGGAGCGTGATGATGACAGCGAGGCGCGCGGAGGATGTCGAGTTGACGAAGCTCTGTTGTTCTAGCCGGGACCCTGACACGCTAGCCAACCTTCGTCTCCACCTCCGCACTATGCACGCCAGATGCACACCATGCCACCAAAAATAGCGCCTTCATGCACTACCTGCACGCAATCAGCCGCCGTTGGTGTTTCACCTGTCGCTCGAGTACACTACAGCCATGCAAGACATCCTCCAGTTGAACCATCGCGCCTACCGTTCCCAAGGCTGCCAACGAGGCCGCCGATACCACAGAGATTAGACGCCGCTTCGGGTTAGCGCTGACTCGCCCTGCATCGACGACGATCGGAGATTTTGTGGTTTATCGTGACACGTGAGCTGCACAACACCACACACAATACCTTCCTGGGATTTACATACTTCGCACATTGCAGATGTTTTGACATGTAGTGTTTTTGCGATGTTGCTACAGCATCGGCTCAAGTTTGCGCAGCATCGAGGATACACATGGATAACGTCACCAAGCGCAGGGCAAAGGGCCTAAAGTTTGGCTCATGCTGATGATGATGAACAGAAAAGGCCCGTTTCTCTAGGTGTCCGTCCGATGCGGAGGCTCTGGGAATGTCGAAGGATGTCAACTCCAAGCTTTGCAGAAATGCCGTCTTCCCGTCTTTTTGGACTCTCCTTGCATTCTCCTTGCATTAAGACGAATATATAAGCCGTTGGGTATCATCCAACCCCATTCAAACCACCCTGCTCCTGATATTCACTGCGTCTTGGTCATGTGATGTCCATATTCTGCTCTGCACACGTGCACGCTCAGATTTCAGCTGCTACAAAGCCCTCACGCTCTCTTCTGGGTTTCATCGAAGGAGTCCAAGGCTCACTTTGCAACGATATGGATGTCAGCAACGCGACAAGGGTGAATGACGAACTTGGGTCGGTGTTTGCAGTATTGGAGAACAGCTTCTTCGCGCAGTGCTTCGTGGCCATCGCTGTGATATGTATTTGCACGAGGATATGGTCGTCGCACGTCTTCAGATCCATCAAGTACGGCAAAGGCTATAATGTCTTACCACCTACACTGCCGTATTGGATACCAGGACTCAGACATGCGTTATCAATGGCCTATGATTCGCATGCCTTTCTGGCCAAATGCATGCAAGTACCAAATGACAACTGGCCCGAATTATCGCATTGTAGCAGAACTGACACGACAGCAGGAACGAATACGGCGACGGCTCACCCTTCTTCCTCGACGGCGCAGGCGAAAGACTGCTCTTCGTCCTCGACCCCGAGCACATCAAAGGCGCGCTCAACAACTCCGCCGAACTAGATCCCAATCCCTTCATTCACGACAAGATCATGGGCGCACTAATGAGCAGTCCCAAAGCCGCCATCGAATACTACAACTCCCCAGAAAGCAACACAGACTACATACAGACTACGCACATCCGACAACACACAACCGGGTCCAATCTCGGTCTCCTCGTCCAACGCCTCTTCGACGTCATGAAGCGCACCATCTCTGAAACCCTCGCTGAGACACCTGATGGCACATGGCACGAAATCCCCGACCTTTACGCCTTCCTCGAATACCATCTTTCGTATGGCATAACCGAAACACTGCTAGGCAGTTCGATTATTGAAACCTACCCGGAGATCATAACAGACCTCTGGATTCACATTGAAGCCACAGATCAATTCTTCATGGGCCTCCCCCGCTTCGTCATCCCAAAAGCATACGCCGCCCGCGACCGCCTCCTCTCCGCAATCCGCACATGGACCATAAAATCCGAAGCCTTACGTCAGGCCAACGCTGTAAACACCGTGTGGGATCCTGTCGCGGGTTCGGGTCTTCTCCAAGAACGCGAGAAACTATACAGCGAGATGCCGGGCCACGGCATCGAAGGCCGGTCCGCTCAAACTCTCGGTTTACTCTACGGAGGAACCAGCCTAACCGTGCCCGTCACATTCTGGTATCTGTTCGAAACGCTGCGGAATCCAGATCTACAACAACGTGTGCTATCTGAAATGAAAAGTCATGTAAACGAGGAGACAAAGGGCTATAACTTCATGCAACTCACCTCGCGCCCGCTGTTCCAAAGCCTCCACGCCGAGACGACACGAATGTATAGTTCCAACCTCGCGGTTCGAGAGGTTACGAGTGAGGTGTGGAAGTTAGATGGGAAATACAGTGTACCGAAAGGAACCCAAGTCTTCATCAGCCATAAATTTGCCGGCCAATTCACCCAGGGTTGGCGTTCCATCCGCCCCCAAACTGTTGCCAAGCCCCTAGATGCCTTTTGGCCTGAGCGGTATCTCGTCAACACCTCCGCTTCTCCTTCCAACCCCTCTTCCACTTCCACCCCCACTTCCACCCCCTCTTCCACTTCCACCCCCTCCAACAACCCCGATAACCGCTCAAAGTTCAGCGACGCAGGTCTAAGCGGTAGTTGGACTAGTTTCGGTGGCGGCGAACATAAATGTCCTGGTCGGCATTTTGCACGCAATATCGGCATTGTGACACTAGCGGTGTTGATGGGTGTGTTTGAGATTGAAGTGAGTGATTTGGAGGGGGCGAGGAGGCTGGATCCGGGGAATAAGAGGAAGGCGTTTGGGACAATGAGGCCGAGGGAGAGGATTGCGGGGAGGGTTAGGCGCAGGGTTTAGGAGGAGGTATGGAATATGGACCGGTTGAGCGAGACGTGTACTCTCCCCCATCATTAACCATGTGCTACGCACATGCGCCATATTTTCAAATAAACTGAGCATCTCCTAACGGTACGTCGCAAAGTCGAAACCCTAGAGGACGACATCAATAGCACCAACAGGGTGCTGGAACAGTCTGGTGGCACAGTCGATGCTCGCGATAAATCCATCACGAACATCAACAAGCAACTACACAATGCTCATGAGACACATGCAAACTGCAAAGACAGCTTCGCTAGCATCAATCGACAACTGAACGATGCCCACGTCGAACTCAGACGCTCCTCTACCGAGATCAAACGCCTTGCGTTGTTTGGCTCTGTTGTCGTGCGGTGCCAGCACGAGTTCTTCAAGGCTGTTTATCAAATCACCGAGACGCTTCACACCGCACCGATACCTGTGCCTCCTTTGTGGACGTCGAAAACACCCATCACACCGGAGGACATGATCAGTCAGCATCAAGAACACGCCGGTTTTCTCATCAGTCTGATCGATAGTCTCAAGGACGCCTACCGAGACGCCATGTTGATGTAGGAAAAGTCGATCGAGACCGTCTCCGACGTCCTAGGCGATTATGAGAAGCTACGCGATGCTCTTCACGCTAGCAACAACATGATTACCACGCGAACCCAATCGCTAAATCACCTGTCCCGTCCTGAAAAGATATTCGAGGCTGCAGTATGTGTAGTGGTTGCAGGTTGGGATGGAAGCACGAAGACGGTCACTTCGTTCGAGGAGAAGGTTGGTCGTCTGCACGCCATCTTACCAGCAGACGAGGTTGCGAGTACATAGCTAGTTCCGTATTCACCGTGGTTGATCTGCAAGCATTCCATTGAACGACTTGAACCTTTGCACTGCGTGCGTGAGACATGTGAACTTGAAGGGCGCGTTGTCCAATGTTGCCCATCGGCATGATTCGTGACTACACTACAGTCGGTTTACTTATCGACAAGCAATCCTAGCGATGTTTCCAGTACAAAGCAACAAAGATGTACAGTATCGCCATTGTTACTACAAAAGAAAAGAACATACATTCGCACGTTGTATATCATGGCCGCAAGCCACAAGGATATCAAGCCTCTCGTTTGGGTTGCGAGATGTGTGCTCTCCATCATTGATCACTTGCCGCCCGGGCTGCCTGGGTATGTTCCTAATGAAACTGAGCATTACATAAAGGATCCGGAAGTGAGGCGGGAATCGGAGGATGAGCTGAGGCGAACCCAAATGGCATCGCGTCCGCCTTATGCTGAATCGGACACGATGTGCGATAGCGAACGGCGATCTCGGGTGGCCTTGCGGTTCTTGCTGGGGTTATGGCTATTGTATTCGAAGACCGCGCCAGTTACTGTGGAAGAGCTATGACCGTGTAAGGATTTTGGTTAGAAGTATACATAGCCTTCTGCCCTGTTGCTTTGGTAGAATATAATACCATGTAGGCGGCACGCGGCACAGATTCAAGTCGCATTCTAGAGATGTTTATGTATATGGAAATCTGAGTTGCAGTATACATGTCGTTCTGCCCTGTAACTTTAGTAGGGTGCAGTACCATGTAGGCGGCACGCGGCACAGATCTAAGTCGTATTCTCAAGATGTTTCAGTATGCGAAATTATGGGTTGGAGTATACATAAACTTCTGCGCTGTTGCTTTGGTAGAGTTCAATGCTTTGTAGACGGCACGCGCCACCAATTCATACTGTGCGAATAACTTGAACGACTCGGCGACAGCCTATCTGGAAGGCATCTAATGCCGGGTAGCGATCTTGTACACGTGGAGATATGGCACATTGGGGTCGCCGACCCCAGGTTCTGTCGCTACCTAGGTACCGAATATGCCCAATAGTATCATCCTTTGACGACGCATGTCGAGGAAGACACGCTCACCAGATCTAGCTTGCTTGAGTAATGCGTGTAGTTTACCGCGCTAGGTCAAGGTCTCCAGTCTAGACATTACCTGTGCGCCACACCCAATGCGAAGACGCAGCCAACATTCCTCTTCATTCGCATATGGAAGGTCGACGAGACACCCACACTACCCGCATCTGAGGCAACCCAAACAGCCCAATCAACCAGGACACTACTCAAATCACACTACCACACCAAACATCAACTCATAGCTTGCGCTGCGAAGGCACCTGCCAGATTGCGGTCTCCGAGACCATGGTCGGGTCCCACACTACCACTTCCAGCGCCAGGCCGTGGCACACCTCGGTGTTCTTTTGTTGTCAGAAGCCATATGCAAGGAACTCTGGCAGTGAGAGACGCATCTACCCCACGGAGAACCTTGGAAGTACCTCGATGAGCGCTCTTTCGATGTATTCAGAAAGCACTCTCACGAGCCCTTGACAGTTGCCGATCATGGTGGATGTCTCGATGCAGACCGAAGCTGTGGCTCGTACACCTCTACGTTCGTTGCCCTTCTCGTTGCTGGGCATGTCACTCAATGCCGCCTAAAGCTCTAACCCCAGAAGACTACATCGCCTCAGAACCTTTGTCAATATTCCTTTCCCATCGATGCAGTCTGCAGCACACCCTTTTAGTTTTCACCCTAGTAAAAAATATGACAACAATACCTTCGTAGGGTTGGAAAGACGGTACTAATAAACCGGAGAAGTCAATGATGCGGTTCCCAGACGAAGTTGCGGAAGGAGAGTAACCCACCGTACCCAGTTCTCAATAATCAAAGTCTTCAAACACTACTTTCTGCCCCTCAAGCCACCCCGTAACCTCTTTCCTCATCCCCTTTCCAGCACACACATACCACGTCTCAGCCTGCATATGCTGTACATCTTCCTTCATCATCCTCCTCTCCACCACATCCGCCTGCGCCTTGATCTCATCTCTCATCGTAGCAAGCTCAACCTCCACAGCCCGCCCAGTCAAAAACACCTTCGCACACTTCCCCAGCCCAGGATACCGCTTGAATGTATCCAGCACCAACCCCACATCCTCCCCCCTCACCGCCCACAGCAACATGAACCCGCCGTTTTGCAAATCCAGCCCACCGATCTGACCGAAAAGAGGAGTGACACCCACACCCCCAGCCACAAAAACGTTTTTCCCCTCCCCATCCCTAGCACTCTCGACTTTAAACTCCCCTCCCACCCCCAAAACACCCACTTCCAACCCCGCCCGCTCATTCTGCTGGAACAAAAATCCCGTCACAGCACCCACCTTTCTGATTGTAATCTCAAACTCCTTCTCCTTCTCCTTATCTCCCTCCCCATCCCCATCCCCATCCCCCCCATCCCGTGCCAGTGCCGAAGAAATCGTAAACGTCCTAACAAAATCATCGTTCAAACTCCCCGGATCCTCGTCCCGCATATGCTCATACCCCACATCGAGCTCTTGACTGAAATCAAGCGCGATCCATTGGCCAGCGCGGTATGTGAGGCCGCCATCGACGGAGAAAGTGAAGCGTGCGATGGTGGGTGTGAGGATCTCTTTCTTTGTGAGAAGGGCTGTTTGGCGCGTGGAGGGGGAATTGGAAGAGGAGAGGGCGCCGCGGATGTTGCCTTCGGTAGCTAGTGTGCGGACGAGTGGGTTGTAGGGACTTGGTGTTTTCTTTGTTCCGCGGAATGGTAGACCGGTTTTTACGTACCGGCATTCCTCAATCTCGATTCTAACGGCGAGATTACTGCCTGGGAGGAGGGCGGAGGCGTCTGTGCCAGCGAGGATCTCGGTCGCGCCTGTTATGTACAGCACATCTCCAGTCTCGTAGTCTGGAAACGTGAGCCCGATTTTCGGATTGAGCATGAGGTTGCCGAGGGACTGGTAAAGCCGGTTCCCAGAATACTCGGGATAGGCGAGGGTAGTTGGAGACACGATTCGGACGAAGCCCGGTGGACCTCCGCGGTGGTTAACATCCATGTCATCTTCTGTGCTGGTGGAGAGAAAGAACATGTCGGATTTCGATATCAGCGCTGTTCCTTCTTCAGACAACGACGAGCCTTGCGACACCAGTTCTGGGTCTAAAAGCGCGGGTCGGATTTCGTATTGGTTGAGGTACTTTGGGCAATTCCCGAGACTTTGCTCGATCTTGGTGACGAGTTGGAGTTGTGTTTGTTTCCTGTTCTCTTCGCCTTCTATTTCGACTTCGACGTCTTTTATCGTCCCTGCGACCATGCGGCCGGCGGTCTTGACTCTCTTTCTTGTCATCAGGTCGATGGCTAAACCTGCTACTAGCTTCCCACCGTCTTTCGCCTGAGTCGTCTTGCTTTCCCCACCTTTCTCGCTACCGCCCACGAGCGCTTGCACAACAGGATCATGCTTGCCGTCGACGAGAGTCCTTGTACCGTTGAAACCTCCACCAAGCGGCTCTGAGAAACCAGGTTCGCCACCCCATAGTGTCGTCCAAGGCCGATCCTGTGTATCTAGAGTCCCGAATGCGAGCAGAGGGGCGCGTTGGAACATGAACGCTGCTTGTGGTGTGAGCATGGCTGATGTTGGATTGTCTTGAGGCGGAATGCGGAGGAGGCGGTGCATCTTCTCTTCGCCCTCGTTCCAGGGCATGCCTATCGAGAAAGACATGTTGATGGCTTGTGAAGTGAACCTGAGGGAGGTTTTCGTGGTGTGTAGTCAGTTGACCGGTGTCTATTGTCTGAGCTCTGGGTTATATAGCTTGCACTGCTAGGAAGAATTATTGGGCGTCATGCTCTGGTGACGAAGCTCATCCATTCCAAGGATGACTTTGTTGCCGTCGGCATCTATCCTAATAATGCTTTGCACCGAATTGTTGAGGTGTCATCCGAAGGGCGCATTGGCAGTGATACCGCGGCATGTCGCCATCGGCGGCTTCCAAATAGTGATGGTTAAGGTCGGCCTTACATGCGGGGGAAGGGAAGCTAGCCCAAACGGGTCGGGAGGCCTTAGAAGAAGGAAGTAACACGCTTATGAAGCATGACCGGCATGGAATAACGCGTCAGTTACAGAGACCTGCACCTCATACAAGCATAAAACCGAACATGTCTGCAGCCTACATTAACATAGAACCCTGCAAAGTAGGTGTCTTAACGTCGATGTAGGCTCTAGACCTGTTCAGATTTTTCTAAGGTTGGCGTGCCTGTGTAATCTGGTGCAGCTGTCTTGCCGCTCAGTCAACATCTTTGATCCAAGTATCGTGGACATATTCACTGACAACCTACCGCCTAACTATGCTCCCTAACAATCATCTCCGCAGCCATCTCCGCAATCCCATAAACAAGCGTCTGCAAATGCGCACTCGGCAAAAGAGGAATAACACTCGCATCCACCACCCTCAACCCCTTAGTACCATACACCTTCAACTCCTTATCCACAACACCACCATCCTTCTCCGGCAGCAGCGCAGCAGTACCAATAGGATGATAAATACTCAACGTATTCGCCAGCGCATACTTGCGCCAATCCGCATCCGTCTGCACAGCACTGCCCGGTTCGTACTCATTTGTCCAGACCTCGCTCATGGGCGCGGTGGAAGCGATCTTACGCATGTATTTAGCGAGGTTTGTGGCGGCTTCGAGGTCGTAGGGGTGGGAGAGGTAGTTTGGGTTTATGAGCGGTTTGTCGCTGATGTTAAGGGAGGAGATGTGGACGTTTCCTTTGCTGAGGGGGTGTTGAACCACGCCGATTAGTGCGAATGTGCCGATGCCGAATTGGGTGGAGTTGGCGGCGGGGTAGCCCTTCAGGCCTGTGTAGCCGTCTGAGAAGATGACTTCTAGTTGGGGGACCTTTGTGCTGAGAGCGGGGGAGAAGTATGATTTCTTCAACTTGTCGGTTGCAGACGTCAAGCTCGCGTCGCTGTCAACGAGGTTGCGGAGCGTGGATGCAGTGGAGTTGCTGACGGTGCCCCAGGGGAAGTATGCATAGCCGCTGGCGGTGTAGTCATAAAGTGACACCTCGTCCGCGTTGTAGAGGGCTAGCTCAGCGGCTGCGCGGGTGGCGTTCTTGAGGACGTCGAAGGAAGGGTATTCGGGCTTCAACTGGTAGGAGATTTGGATGCGAATGTGGTCTTGGAGGTTCTCGCCAACCGAAGGTAGATGCTTGACAACAGGAATACCGAGGTTCTTGAGGAGAGTAGAGTTGCCAATGCCGGAGTGTTCCAGAAGACCAGGAGTTTGAAACGATCCAGCCGAGAGAATGACCTCCTTTCGCGCGGTGATTGTTGTACCGTTTTCCAGCGTGACGCCGACAGCAGTCTTTCCTTTGAAGTTGATCTTCGCCACACGCGTGTCTAGCTTCAACACCAGGTTATCCTTGGCAAGTTTGAGGTATTCTGGGGCGTAAGAGCGAGTGTAGTTGGGGCTGACGTTGCTCGGTTGGGTCGAGACACCTATGGGGTTACCGTTCAGGCTCTCTCGATTCGTCGCCAAGCCGAGGCTATTCATAGTGGGATACCATGAGGACTGGTGACGGGGAAAGATCCTGTTGATGAGCGTGCGGATGGGCCCCGTTGTGCCGACTCCCTCGGTGCCGTATGCCGGCGACGGTAGGAATGTCTCGCACTTCAACATTGCAGCGTACAAGTTCTTCCAGTTCCATCCTTTGTTGCCGAGCTGCTTCTCCCATGCGTCTAGTTCGTACTCGGAAGTTCTGTCCCATGTCATGAGATTGAGAGCAGAGGATCCTCCGAGGACTTTGCCACGGTTCTGCGCAAAGACGCGGTTGTTGGCGCCGGGTTGCGCAATGGTGGTGAAGTTCCAGTCATATTTGCCACCAAGTGTTGATCCCTTTCTTCCTGGTACGCTGATACCTGGTTCCTGGCGGCCATCGGGTCCAGCTTCTATGACAAGGACGTTGAGATCTGGGAGTCCAAGACTGATGCGTGAAGCGACGGCGAGGCCTGCAGTTCCACCTCCAATTACAATCTATATCGTCTGTTAGATCATCTTCGGAATCGGGATAGAACCTGTTGGCTTCAAAAGGCAACGTACAAAGTCATAAGAGCTAGAATTAACGGATCCCTTTACCTCCCGCTCGAAAACTGCGGCACTACCGTACTCCAACAACGCAAAAGCTAGCAAGGTGGACGTCTGTAATTTCATAATCGCGTCCCGTGGAAAAGCAGCGCTCTCTCAAAAGAATGAATAGCCGATACAAGACTCGGAAACCAGTGAATCGCCGCCCTCGAGCATACCAGCAGAATATAAATTACTTGTCAGCGCTACTGAACTAGAAAAAGCATGCTAGCGACATCGAGATCTTGGGCCGAGATCCAAGATTCCGTATGCAGGTGCGGGCCTGATATCGTGTATCCATTTTATCCGATGCGAGACGGGACAGGGGATGGGCACGACACCCACTCTTTGCCTGCGTCCTTACGCCGTCTACCGGGGATCTCGTATGAGTAATCCGGATACTTCATGGGAGCTTCTGTGCTTTCTGGTGCTCTCGAGGCGGTGCGGTCGCGATCCCTGGCGTCGACGTTATGCTGAGAGCCACTCCATCGGGAACATGGTACCTATGGCTTCCGGGGACATGGTGAAGACTTGTTCGACTACTCAGCCGCAATGTGGGTCCGGGAGTTGATGAACGGGAACTAGACGCTTTATTGCATGATGCGTGAGCCGTATTCCACACTGGTGGCAACGGTCCATGGTTTTTGAACACCCCCAAATCTGCCGCCAACGCTACATTTCCGTTGTTCCGAGCATGCGCGAGCGGTAGAAGTGCGTGTAGCAAGAACGTGGTAAAGAGGCAATCATCCATCAATGAAATCATGATCAAAAGCTGTAGAACACCGAAACGCCCAAGTGGGCAGGCGCGCTAGTCGGGTGCCTGATGTCCTCTATGAGCAGGAACGAACAAGGCTATCCTCACGACAATACACCGCAACTGCGAGACAACATTCTACCATGGGATATTGATACACTTATAGCCGTTACACATGTCTACCGCTCAAAAGGTGGCATCCCGGCCCAACCGCCGCAACACGAGAAAGCTGAGCTGCCCAGGCCAGCCAGCCAGCTGGACCCCTAGTTTGGTCAAAACTCCGCGTCTCAACATGGACATGACGGAGATGCGATCTTTGCTCATCCACTAACACCTCTACTATTATTATCTCCTACATACCGCAATCGTTTCTACAGCGCCAAATAGCACATCACATATTCGCCCACCATGGCACCGCGCAAGACGCGGGTGAAGCCCACAGCGTACCCATTCCTACCCTTCCACATCACACGATGCGCGCAACTGCTTTCGTCCTTAGTAGTAGCGAGCATCATGTTTTACTTCCTGCGTGAATTGGCGCATGATGGGTATAGGTTGCCGTGGACGTTTATCTTAGTAAGTCTCTTCCTCATTTCGTCCTGGCTATTTACCTACTACATACGTTTATTGCATTGCTAACTATTACTCAGCTAATGACCGTATCCCTCCTCACCCCCGCGGCACTCACAATCACGATCGTCCTACACTTCCGCCACGGCCTATCCGCGTCCCTCAACCTGATTCTCAACAGCGTCCTCGCGCTCCTCTGGACTGTGTCCTTCGCTCTGCTGGCGTGGTGGTGTTCGGGCACATTGGCACACGTTTGCGACGCGGATAGCTGGGAATCAGACACCGGGGTTAGCGTGTGCAGGATGTACAAGGCGCTGTTCAGCTTCGCGTTGCTAGGCTTTGTGGCAACCGGGTGCGCGTTGGGCTTAGATGTCAAGGTCATGAGGGGCGCGAGGACGAGGGGCGTGTTTCAGCAGTTGGATGTGTTGAACGGAGGGGAAGCGAAGAAAGATGAAGAGGACACAGGAAGGGACATCAACCCGAATCCCATCGCTGCACGGGCGCAACGGGGTAGGGGTGGAGACGGTTACGCGCTGCCTGAGGAGCAGTTCGGGTACAACGACATTGGCTATCACGGAGCTGCAGGTGAGGTTGGGCAAAGCAGGATATAATCCCTAGAACAATGCCATGAAGAATAATCTCATCTACTCAAACGCCATCTCAACGCCGCCCAGATGCTGGCCTGAAGCCGGGTATCACAGTGCAAGAAAACTAGAAAACGTCGTCCATGATGACATCTCTGCTCATGGCTGCCGTCGCGGCATGCTCAGTACCAACATCCGCGTCCATGGACATGGACGGAGCTTCGCGCGCGGGAATCTCGTCTTCGACAAAGACACCCAGGCCACCGAATGCTTCCCGTAGTGTCCGACTGCAGTAGTCTTGCAAGCTGTGTCCTCCCACCAGATGCGCTGGATCTCGTTTCATACGCGCGTACCAGTCCACCTCGTAGCTGTCCTGGAGGACGTAGTATTGCGGCGCGATGGTGTAGCCGCCGAATGGGTCGAAGGGTGCTTCGACGGGCGGCGCGACGCGCTTCTTCAGTCCGCGGATTGCGAAACCGGGGTCTACGTCGTCTTTGATGCCGGTGCTCTTGTTGCGGGCGGCGGCTTCTAATTCGGCTTTTTGGAGGGCTTCGAACTTTTTTAGTTTCGCCCAGGTCGCGTCTACGTCGATGTTGAGGATGAGGTTCCAGTTGATTTCTTCGACTTGCTCGAGGTAATCGTTGTAGTCGCGGAGGGACTCGAAGTCATCTTCTGTTTTGTTCATGCTGTAGATTGTTAGCCAGACGTCGTTGTTATGCGTCAATAGCACCTACATCTTCATGACCTTCTTCCTCAGATCCACCTCCCGCTCAACCTTCAGATCCTCAAACGTCGCCCTCCGAAAGTTCCGATAAGCCAGCGTCTTTGCGCATCCAGCAACAGGACATATACTGTTGCCCTTGCCAAAGAGCCGATCCACGCAGGTATCGCACATTTTGTGGTAGCATATCGGGTTGATCTTGAACTGCATGTTGGAGTTGAGGAAGCGCGACGACCTGCATACGGGGCAAGAGTCTGATGCATCGTCAGCGAGGGAACGTGGGGGTTGTGACTGCTGTAAAGACAAGTTGTAGAGGGTTTTGGAGAGAGACGCACCGCCATCTGGCTTGGACGCGTCGGCGCCGCGCGCGGATTTCGACATGGCGGGTATGAGGCGGAGGCGATGGAGCTGCGAGGATGGGGCCTCGGGATCTTGAGGTTTGTTGCTGACTCAGCGGGTGGAAGTCGCCGGTCGTCTTACGAGATAGGGAGCATGTCTGGGATCGATAGAGATGTAGACGAGTGGATAATCACTGAATCTGAGGTCCAGGAACTGCTCCTGTCTGACAGACGACATACCGACGATCTGTATGCATGGCTTGCATGGTTTCCCTTGTGGGGCCTGACGCCAAGACCGACGCTTTTTCTCGTACACAAAATTCCTTCACCTTTCCTTCTTCCACAACCCACTCACCACATCAGCAAAAATGGCAGCCTCAACACAGAGCGCCCTAGAGGAGATTGAGCGCCGCCGCGTGCAGCTGCAGCAAAATGTCGATAAGCTGCGCAAAGCCCTCTCCCACTGGACGACCTGGGAGGCTGAGTATGAGGCGCTCAAGGAAGAGATCCAAGGCGCCAGCGACCCTTCACCCTCACAGATACGTGAGATGGCACGCGACCTCGACCTTACCCTGCTGGACCACAAGGAAGTCGAGGAGCTGCTCTGCAAGAACTCGCCCATGGAACGCACTGCTAACCAAGTTATTGACATGATCTCTAGACGCATTGACTATGTTCGGACGAGCAGTGCTACGATCGAAAAGAACCTCGATGCTGCTGAGAAGAAGCTTGCTGGTGTCGATGTTCTGTTGGAGCCAGGCATGGACAATGAAGAGGGCGAGCCGATGATGGACATTGAGGAAGAACTCGATGACGATGGCAACGAGGTTTCGAGCTCTGTGAATCAGACGGGCAAGGCTGCAGCTGAGCTTGTTGAGGTCCTACGCAAGGCTGGTGTCCAGAAGGCGGAGCTGGAGAAGAAGAACGCAGCAGAGGCGCAAGAAGCTTCTCCAGATGCGCCGTCCACGTCTACGCCAACTTCACACACCACACCAGAGTCGAAATCTAGTCCGTCCTCCTCCGAAAACACGTCCACTCTACCCTCCTCCCAAGCTTCAGACCCAGAGCCTGTCAAGAAGTCAGTGTCTTTCTCTGAGGAGGTCGACGTCGAACCAACTCCGAAAGCTACACCACAACCTGCACAACCCGACTACGAAGCAAAATTCTCTGTCGATGAGGAGCTCACGCAGGACGACTACGAGAGCTTGGCCAATGCCATTATACCAGATGACGAGTCTGCAGAGGAAGCCGAGCTGAGACGGCAAATGCTTCAGTATGGCATGTCGGAAGTCGGACAGATTGTCGCTGAACTCGATCTGGACCAGCCTACTGCGTCGTACTCTGACGAAGAAGATGACGACTACGGCGACTACGACACTGAGGACGACGAAGAAGAAGACGAGTATGGCCGCAGCACCAAGCCTGTCATCACCGAGGACTATCGCAAGCAGATGATGGAACTTGAGAAGAAGTTGGGCGCTCGCATGCTTGAGAATGTAGGGCCTGAGTCGGGCAAGCCATCTCTCGAAGACCACATCGGAGACATTCGTACCATGAAAGTGAAGAGCGACGATCAGTTCGATGAGTCCATGGCTTCTCCTGCGACAATGCCGGCGCCGGCTGATACAAAGGAGTCGAAGAAGAAGGGAGTGCGCTTTGCCGACGACCTGGACATATCTGAAGCGCCAAAGCCAATACAAGAACCAGCTGGAGCCGCGCGGTTACCTGTTAGATCGACAACGACCATATCCGATACCATTGTCGAGCGATCTGCCGTCCCTGCCGCTCCGGTAGAGCCACCCAAACCCGCCAAGATGTCCAGGTTCAAGAGTGCCCGCGCTGCGACGAACACTCCTCCCCAGATGCTGCCAACACCTCCGGTCCCAGAAGCGTCGCCTGTGCCAAGTGGCCCAGCTGGACGACCACTAGCCACTACCATTACCGAGCACGCCCCTCTACCCTCAGAGCCCCAGGCACCTGATGAGTTTGATCCAGTTCTCTTGGACCGCGAGATCAAAGCAGAGTATCACAAGGCGCGTAATCGCTTCATCCAGCGACAAGGCGGATTCAAGGCAACTGAAGAGGACGAAGAAAGTCCCATCGTAGAAGAACGAGATGGCAAGACCAAAAAGGTGAGCCGTTTCATGGCGGCCAGGCTCAAGGCTGAGGGTATGTAATATCTCCGTATAACGTCGCCACCACGTTTCCATCGTCGTTCCCTTTCTACACTTCCACCACCGACCCTTGTGAGGGTCACGCGTGCATGCCTAACGGCACAGCGCAAAGCCGAAAGGCTTTGTCAACGGAACAATTCATGTCCGTGGGAGATACTATTACCATGTATCATGACCACATTACATTGCTTCCAAGATTGAAACAAGCGGTACCACTAGACTCGCCGGGCCAAATACTATGCCTACTCGAGGTTCATATGCTCCGTACATATCAATGATGCCAGTATTGGTATGAATGAAAAATGTTACAAATCGACTTTATATGACTTTGATGTGAGTGAACGTGAAATCGATCAGAACCATCGTGAGTGACGCTTGCCATTCAAATGTAAGAGGGGTCGCTACCTCGTCCTGTATACGTCAGGTGGGGGATCAGGTCCATGGTGGGGCAACGTCTTGAGGCGACAGTAAATTTTTGGTCAACGCCGCCGCCATCATGACCTCCGACTCGAGCTCCTCCACGCACTCCGATTCGCTGCCTGCTGCTCTGCATCTCCCCTCGCCGTTTGCAGACACGGGCAAAGAGACTGCCCACCTCGCCTTTGCACCGATAGCGCTGGCGCAATACCACAACATAGTCGAAAAACTGGCCTCCAACAACGTCTACCGCATCCTCCGCGCACCCGGGCCCATTCGTGTATGGGTCTACCGATCGCTACTCGCCGAGCACCAACTGTGGAATGACTGGGACCGCCGCGCGCCATCACCGCCCGACGTGAAGCCTGAGACGGAGCCCGCCATGGCCGAAGGCAGCATCAACGACACGGAGAGCGTGGGCGACTCGGAGCGGCCCGAGAGCTCGTCCCGCATGACCGCGCGCCCCTACCTCACCCGACTACGCCTCGCGCTCGCGCCCTATACCGTTCATTTCCACAACCCGGGCTATGTCCGGGACGATACACTGCGCATGCTAGAGCGCGACGTGGTGAAGAAGACGCTGGAAGAGTCGCGGAAGAGCCTCGAGTTGCGCGAAGAACTCGGTCTCTCGTGGGAGTTCTGGGACGATCTCGCGGGCGTGCTCAAAGCCGCTATCCCCTCGCTCGAACGCCGCTGTTTCGCTGCGCCGGATCCTGCTGCGCCTGAATATGAGGGTCTGTCGGGCCCGCTCATCGCAAGCTATTCGCCGAGCCTGCTTAGGGATCTGGAACGGCTGAATCAGCTTGTGTGTATTGCAAGGAATGTGCAGGTACATGGCGAGAGGGTGCAGAATTTGAGTGCGGACAGACTCTTTGACAAGGACATTTTTGCATTGATCAATGTCTGTGTACGCGTTACGGCGCGGGGCTACGATGGCGAGGCTGGAACCCAAGACGAAGACAAATGGCAGGGCGTCATCAATGCGTACAAGAAGCTGCTCATCACTTGTTTGCAGTTCCTTAACAATCTCATCGCGCGGAACGAGCAGCGGAAGCTGATGCTTTGGATCGAACTGTTCGATAGTCATCTCGATAACGAACTGCCCAACTTCGCAGACATGAAGTACAAGATGGACGAGTTTCCGCAACAAGATCAAGGCCCGCCACCGGAGGAGCAGCCTCTGCCCACTCACGCAGCGCGAAGTCTGGACGCGTTCAAGATTCCTCAACAGCCTGCGTCTTCGCCATTCCTCCTCTACATTGGCGAGACTGGCAACGACGTCAAGAAGGCGCTGATACATCATGGTGTCAAGGCAGGTGCCAATGAAATTGCGGCCGAGTGCAGGCGGAGGTGGCAGACCATGGGTGAAGAGGAGAAGAACGTAGGTTACGTCTGTCGTGTGACCTGATTCCTGCTAACACTTTCAGAAATGGAACATGCTCTATGCAGATGTCGTTGCCCGATATCGCGATCAGATCACTCAAACCAGCACATACCGCAAAGTCGTGGATCAGCATGCCAAGAACGAAGAGAGTGTACAGGCGCTGGCGAAAAGCATCAACCAACTCCAAGTGGAGGTCGACAGGATGCGGTCGTCCATCACAGCTCTCCCTGGCGACGAGTCCAACAGCGAACAACCATCCCAACCCACAGCGGAGAAGCAATCCCCGAAACCAGCATTGGATGACTCGTTACTAGATCCCAGCATCAAACGGTCTCCCCCGGCAGGTGAGATCGATTTCCGTGTGACATACCCGCCATCCTTCGGTGCGGAGATACTCCAAAATGGCAAAGAAGATCTGCTTAAGCGGCTGGAGCCAGACCCCGACCGTCCATCAGGGCTAATCAGTGACGTAGCGTCTCCTACCTCTCCTCCGCCAGAGGATGACGATGACAATGATGACGACTACGATGACATACCTGGTGATGAAGGCCGAGGGTTGCTCACAGACGTTCCGCTTATTCTGGGTCCTACTGAGATTGAGGTTCTACCTATGATCATCATGGCTGGAATCGTTGAGCCGACGGAGGGACAGCCTGGTCATCATTCCGATCCGACTGTTTTCAGCAGTGTCAGGAGCATGCATGGGGTTCGGTGTCATTTGCTTCTTGCGCAGGACAATGGCCGGAATCTGCTGCGCGAGTTGTTGATCTTTGTTGCTGCTTGGGATCTGCGCGAGGAAGAGTTGTACTTCAAGTTTATGGTCAAGATTATGGAGGCTATTCTTGCCAATCAGCTGCTGCCGTTTGCTTATCACGCCTTTAGAGAGTCTGAGTAGGTATACCCATTGGAAACACAGACTTTGACTAACATCACGACAGATCCAAGGACATCATCTCTCCGGCTCAGGCAGTCATCATGAAACTTCTCACAAACATCTTCCGCGCCAGACAGGCCCGCGCCCAGCCCACGAAGGGTCATCTCAAGGCAAACCACCCGCAGGTCGACCAAGGCGATGTTCACATGGTCAACTTCCTACTTACCGAGTTCCGTCGCCATATCATCCCCCAGACATGTGCCCTCATCTTCCTGCAAGGCCAAATCCGCGCGGGACATGCGCAACCCGAAGACTTCCCTCTTAATCTGTGGGACATGGAACGCATGTATGAGGGCGTTTACCAGTACCTAGAGTTCTTCGCCATTCTTACAGAACACGAGACATGGAAGAGGATGCTGAGCAATTGGGAGATCTCACATGAACTGGTCACCCTACTGAAAGAACTGGACGCAGCGATACCCAAGGGTCAGCTATCGCCGCCTCCGCTGAGGAATGTCCAGCACGCGCCACCACCTCCAGCCCCAGTAGAGGTCCACATCCCTCCGTCACACCAGCAGCAAGACCAGCAACAGCCACCGCAACCCCAACCAGTCGCTGTCGAACGACCGTACGACACCACAGCCGGCGCAGCCGAAGCCTACATCCCTCCACCCACCTCACCATCACCCCGACCCTACATGGACGAAGCAGCCGACGAGCCCTCAGACTTCGAATGGCGCAATCTGAAGAAACTCGCCGTCCTCGTCCTCAGCTCCCTGGTCTGGAAGAACAAGCACGTCCAAGACCAAATACGGCCATTGGGTGGTATTGAGGCGGTGTTGAACTGCTGCTCCTACGACGAACATAACCCTTATATCCGCGAACACGCTATAATGTGTCTCCGCTTCCTTATGGAAGGCAATAAAGAGAATCAAGACCGTATTCACGCGCTGGAGAAGTATAATCAAGATGCCAATGCGAAAGCAAAAGCGCCCGCCGCACCAGCCGCGGCATCAAGCCCACACCCAAACTCGAACCCTGCTCCAGGCGAGAGCAGCGGAAGTGGAAGTGGAAGTGGCAGTGGTAGTGGTAGTGTTGGGGGCAGCAGCAACCGATCAGCAGTCAACGTCCGCGTCCCCGACGAAGTGCTCGACCAACAAGGGTACGAAACCTACATGGACAAACAAGGCCAGGTCATGCTGAGGAAACGTCAACATGTGCCGCAGTCTTCGATGCACCAGCAGCAGCAATTGCCGATTCAGAATACGGAGCTGACGAAGGGGACAGATAATGGGGGTCAAAACATGGGCAACAACACCAACGGTACTGGCAATGGCAATCCTGGCAGTGCAAGTAACACCGGCAACCCTACCACCAAAGGCAAAGCCAAGTCAGACTCCGCCCAAGCTGTCTGGGATAACATGCGCGCTACTGCCTTAGGTGGGATTGGTGGTACGATGACGGGTGCAGGGGGTGGTGTGCGCGATCCTAAGGCGCTGGAGGAGATGGTGGAGCGCGTTATGCATAATCTGCCCAGGTTGCAGGGCTTGAGGGGTGGGGAGGAGAGGGCGGTCGAGGTGGAGGAGGCGCTGAAGAAGTTGGATAGGGGGTTTGATGGGGGGAGTTAGGGTGGTGTGGATGGGGAGGAGGGAGGGAGTGTGGGAGGATGGGGAGGGAAGGGAAGATGGTGTATGGAGTTCTTAGAGAAGCGTTGGTGTGCACTTGGCTATGGCGTTTATCGGTTCTGGCCATTCTGGGAAGGTCGGGATCAGTCGAATCGAGCTTCTGCCGCTTTCGAAGCTTGTTATCGAGCGAGGACTTGCCGACAGAAATATTCTTATGCGCGCTATCATGTTGAGTCTTTACCATATCTTTCCAGCCTTGTGCGACCAACACGGCAAAGCATGACTTCGATCACGTGACGCTGGGCTTATCATCCCGGGTGTGCCTTCTGTCCTGAGATCAGGCTCTTTTGTTTCTAGATTATGTGTACATTGTCGCTCAGGCGCTCCAACCACCATCCACACCTTGTCATGGCCGTGGAAAGCGCTAGCGTAGGCAACGCGAACGCCACAATCAACCCCGCCATCAACATTCAGCCTTGCCGCATCACTTCCAAGGCTCATCGGTAGCATAGCCTCGATCTGACCTCGATATGGGCGCATTCGTTCCTTCCTCTCCAGCTCGGACTACCATCACTCACTCACCGCAAAATGGCCGGCCAACTTTGGCTTCTCGATCAGTGACATCTATTTGGTCAGCAACTACGCGTACTCGGTCTACAAGTCGTGTAAGAATGCAGGCGACAGCTTCCGTGAAATCACCGCCGAGGGTAAGCAGATCGCGCGCAAGGCAGCGAACGCAGGGACTGACGTGGCACAATCTAGTCGACTCACTACGATCCTTCCTTCTTGCTCTGGACAACGAGTACAAAAGGCCTCGATCCTCGTTCCGACACCTTACGCCTGTGCAAGAAGGCCGGTTGGCAGCTAGCTTGCAGGACTGCCGAGCGGATCTTCGTTCGGTGAAAGCGATATTACACGACTTCCGCTCGCTCGACACTGGCGATGGACGGTATCGCGATAAGCTCGCCTTCACGAGTGGGAAACAAGCTACGATAAGGGACAAGATCGGTGCGCATAATTCCCGGCTACAACAGCTTCTCAGTGGCCTGAATGTCGCGACGTTTTCCAGGATCGAGAGGAACACTGAGGCACACTATCTTTCGTTGCTTGAGATTCACGGAAAGTTGGATAAAATCCGCAGGGACATATCCTCTGGAAGGCGCAATGCCGTGGCCGTCGATGATGTCGATGAAGCAGTGGCATTGGAAGATGAGATCCTCGATGATAACATGACTGAGCCGGACGTCGACCTCTCATATGAGGTTCATGAGTGGATCAACCAGTTCAGCAGCCAGATGACGCGATCTGCGAACGAAAATGGTCACTCCAGCCGCCTATCCCCTGGTAGTGATAGAGCAGCTCTCACAAGCTTCGATCTCTCCCACCTTAACGCAAATCGTAGAATTACGCACAATGTAACACCAGCCTCCTTGGTCACAGATGCTGGTGAGCAGCTGACCATTCTACCTGATGGGTATTATGGTGTCTCCCTTGGAACGTGGCGTTGGGGCAAGACAAGCAAATGGTGGAAGGAGATCAGTGATGTCGATCTTCTGCTTAGCGGCTTTCGTCGAAGCCTGATCGTTAGACACCCAATCTTCTATAAGCTCGAATTGTCCTTAGAGGAGTTGTATTTTGAGGAAGCAAAGACAATTCATGTACGACGAAGAGTCTTGCGACCGAAGGATCGGGACAAAGTCTCTTTCGAAGACCTCTCACTCGATGTGTATTTCAGGAATATGTTAAGGGAAGAGAAGAGCACAGTCGAGTTTCTAAAAGCTGGCAATCAGCATGCAAAATATTTCGAAGACATTGTATTTGTGTTGAAATTCGTGAGTATCTTGTGCGCAGATTTTGGAACGACATGCTAAATGTTACCCAGAAACCAGACGCTGTGTTTTACTGTTGTGGTTTTAACCTAGCACACGAGATCCGCATTTCTATAGTAGAAGCCAAGGTGGGTTGGAGAAGAGAGATACGCCACCCCAACGGCAACACCATCGAGATCTGTGCGAACGGCCCAACAAACATTCGGCACTACCTGAAAATGAGGAACCAAGGACTTCCTCAGCGCAACACAGGTTGGTGGAGCGACGAGATTAATGGATATGGAGGCATACTTCTCTGGATTAAAGTCACGGACATTGAAGCGGTCTCTATTGAGCAGTTGGACCAGCTGGAGATTCGAGGAGGAGGATACTTTGCTCGGATAGTGGGAGGTGATGGTCATATATTCGAGTCTACGCAAGAATCACCTGGGGATGTATCGGATTTTGGGGAACGTGCGGTGAAGCACAGCAAATTGTTACGCGATAGGCGTGAGCAGCGCATAAACGATGTGAAGTGGGCTCAGGCTCTTGGTGTGAAGGTCTAGAGATTCCTTGTTGTTTCTGGTATCATTGTCAATTCATGTTGTACCACCACTAGGTCCTAAGCAATGATGTTAGTTGTAAGCCTCTTGCTATATTCTTGACAGCAGTAGGAGTGCGAAAAGGCTAGGTTGCTACGACATGGCTCGGCTCCCGGGCTTTCGTTACCCGCACTCGGCAAACCTCCGCTCGCGCAATCCGCATCTTCCCAACACCACACTTATCGGCATCCGCCCTCACTTATCAACATCCGTCGCCGTCGGATGCCATCCGATCGGCTGTCAGATTAAGTACCGACGAATTACCGATGCCAGATAACAGCCGACGTAACGCGTATCTCCGCGTTCGACTCGTACGCGACCGCATGTAGCAGGTACCAAGACCATCGCGCCGTTGATTACTAGGCGGATTGTGGGGTAGTGGAGTCGGGAGTGGAGACGAACGTCGATACGAATGCAACGCAGTGCAAGGTATACGACCGATCTCGGAAGTATAGCAGACGTCGGATGTTGTTATATGAGCTTCTACCATGGCGCCGCTGGACGTAGCTTCAGCGTTGTGCGAACGCGTCGTGTCAATTCTACATTCTCGCATCGACACCATCATGGGCCACACCAGCATGGCTCAGCGACTACTCACCAGCTTCGCGCTGCTCACTACCAGCGTCTCTAGCGTTTCTGCAGCATACAACATTTCATCTGCAGTCACGCTTCCCGGCTACGGTACCTTTGTCGGCACCACGGTCTCGCAAACTCTGACAAAGAAGCCTCTACCACGCGGTGTAGACGCCTGGCTCGGTATCGACTATGCTTCTCAGCCTGTTGGAGAGGCAAGATTTGCGCCTGTTGGCGCGCCAGAGCCTTTCGATGGGGTCAAGAACGCGAGTAGTTATGGGTTTTCGTGTTTCCAGGATCCAGACGAACTCCCGTATGAACTGGATGAGGCGTGTTTGAGCATGAACGTTTTCCGGCCGCAGGGCGTTGCGGATGATGCGGAATTACCGGTGCTGATCTGGATTCATGGGGGTGGCTTCGTTGCTGGAAGCGCGAGGAGCTTCGATGGTGCTTCCTTCGTGGCTAACTCTAGGGAGCCGCTTGTGGTTGTTACTTTCAACTACAGAGTAGGCATAGCCGTTCTCTTCATACGAACAAAGCTAATGTCGTCCAGGTTAACTCTCTGGGCTTCCTCCCGTCCCCAGTTTTTGAGCGCGAAGGACTTCTTAACCTCGGACTCCGCGATCAGGAGACCCTGTTCAAGTTTGTTCAGAAATACATCTCTGTTTTTGGAGGCGATGCTTCTCGCGTCACGATTGGAGGTCGCTCAGCTGGTGCGCACTCAGTCGGCATTCATCTCTTCCACAACTACAACAAAACCGAGGGTGCACCAGCGCTCTTCTCGCAGGCTCTTCTCCAGTCCGGCAGTGTGACTGCTCGAGCGTTCCCGAACGCATCTTACCCACTGTACCAGGAGCAATTTGCGCAATACCTTGGCTACACAGGATGCAGCGCAGTAGCCAATAGCACCGATGCCGAAATCCTCAGCTGCCTTCGATCCGTCCCCATCGATGCGATCCAGAACGCCAGCGCTCTGCTGTGGCGCGCTTCAGAATACCCCATCACGTGGCCATTCCAACCCACGCGAGGCGGTCCTCTCCTCGAGCAAGCAGGCTCAACATCCGGGATCAACGAACAATTCTACCGCATCCCCACCATCACTACCAACGTTGTCGACGAAGCAAAGTATTACTCTCCAGGCGACATATCCACCAACGAAGATTTCCTCGCCTTCATCAAGAACCTGATCCCCGGTCTGACCACCGAGGATCTGTCTGATCTCGAGGAGCTATACCCTGACCCAGCAGACGACATCAACGGCCCTTACGCCCACAGCCCAAACTCCACCCAATACAACCGCATCTCTGCCGCGCTTACCGACTACATGTACGTCTGCGCTGGCCAGGAAACCGCCATGCGCATGTCGTCTGCCTCAGTCCCCGTTTACAAAATGGTTTTCGCCGTGAACAACACATTCCCAACTTGGAAAGGCATCCCCCACACCGCCGACACAAAGTACACATGGGCTGAACCGGCCGGTAGCGGTGGAGTGCAGTACCCAGAAGTAGGCAAGGAGTTACTTAATGCGTACTTCTCCGACTTTGTTGCATTAGGCGATCCGAATGCGGGTAATAGGACTGGTGTACCGGTTTGGCCAAAGTATGAGGACGAGGGCGAAGGTAGACCGGGGTTGCAGTTGAGGATGGAGGCTTTTGGCAATAGCAGGGTGGAGGGAGATGCGATTAGGAGGCGTCAATGCGAGTGGTGGAGGGACGAAAGCAGGGCTGCGAGGTTGGAGAAGTAGGATGATAGGATGGAAGTTGGGTAGTTGACTGAATTCCGCAATGTCCGTACAGAAACGACTCACAAGCTGCACTTCGCAACGTTATTGCCGTCGCATCTTCAACCCTGGATCGTAAACTCACGACCACAATGGCTGTTGCACTAGAACTGTTCTTCTTCGCATACCGTATCGCCGTTCGCGGGATAACGCGCGGGGATGCAACAGCCTACGCAAATGCGCCCCACATGCGCTAATCGATTGGCGCAATCCCAACCGATTACACATGCGCGCGCGTTGAACGACATCCGCCTATCCTGCCCACGTGTGACCGTAGCCCGTCCGTGTCTTCCGCTTTGCACACCATTCTTTACGTGACTAAGCTTTTCTCACGGCTGATGAAGCTCACGCAAGCTTTTATCAAGCTTTGGCGACTGGGGGTATCCCGCTGCGTGCCGCGCACATGGGATGGATGGATGGCTAGCATGCGTCCGTTCCTGCAGCTTATGGCTAGGGTCGTGGATTGAGCCTGTCGTTGACGTAGGGTATGGTTGGTTAGCTTGAGTAGGGTGATGATGGGGGTATATAAGATGGATGGCTTTGGGTGTGGTTGAGGGGTTGTGTGTTGGTTTCTTCTCGTCCTTTTGTTCCTACAAAAAGTCACTTTCTATTCGTCAATAATATGAGCGCGTTTCTGGTACTGGGACTCGCTGCTACAGCTCTGGGTTACCCGGCTGTTAGCAAGCACCATCATACGCCTCTGGAAAATGCGACGGATTATCTCGTTTCTGTCGGGCCGCGACCGTACTACATCATCAGCAACATGACTGATAGCCCGTTGAAGCGGAAACTGCAGTCGTGTGAAAACACTCCGGTTTCTATCTCTCCATTCACGATTGGTCATCGCGGCGGAGGAACACTCCAATTCCCAGAAGAGTCGATCCGGTCTCAAGATGCCGGTGCGCGGATGGGCGCCGGTATCTTGGAATGCGATGTGGCATTCACAAGCGACAGGGGATTGGTGTGCAGACACGATCTATGCGATCTGCACCGAACCACAGATATCCTGCTCAGGCCCGAATTAGCAGCAAAATGTACCACGCCATTCACACCGGCGAATGCAACGAGTCCCGCGAACGCATTATGCTGTACTTCCGACATCACGATCGATGAATGTATGATCTCTCCTCCACCCCAAGTACCCGCGACACAACGTCATACTAATAAAACAAAGTCACCACCCTCTGCAGCAAACAAGACGGCTTCAACGCCTCCGCCACCACCCCGCTCACCTACCAAGCCGGCACCCCCCTCTGGCGCACAGAACTCTACGACACCTGCGCACAAACCCTCACCCTAAACGCATACATCGACCTCGTAGACTCCTACCCCGGCTACCGCAACTTCACGCCCGAGTTAAAAACACCACCCGCAGCCGTCTCCATGCCTTTTCTTGGAAACTACACTCAGGCTCAATACGCGTCCGACATGATATCTGCGTTCCGCGAAAAGGGGATAAGTGCGGATCGTGTGTGGCCGCAGAGTTTCTTGTTTGAGGATGTGGTGTATTGGATTAATCATGATGAGGAGTTTGGTGCTCAGGCTGTTTACCTGCAGGAGTTTGATACGCCGGCTGACCTTGCGGCTGGGTTTGCGAATCTATCCATCGCACGCGCTGCGGGTGTGAATATCATTGCGCCCTCTCTTCCCATGCTGCTTTCCGTCGGCGGCGCAGACAACAAGACGATTGTGGAAAGCGAGTACGCGAAAGCGATTAAAGACAATGGCATGGATATTATTGCTTGGACGTTTGAAAGGAGCGGGCCGTTGGCGGATGTGAAGAGGGATGCGGAGTATTATTTCGCGAGTGTGGCGGATGTGGTGGATCATGATGGACAGTACTATGAGGTGCTGGATGTGCTGGTCAGGGAGGTGGGAGTCAAGGGGCTTTTTACGGATTGGGCGGGGACGGTGAGTTATTTTGCGAGTTGTTTTGGGTTGGAGGGGCCGGTGGGGGGGAGTTATAGTAGATAGTAGGTGAGGGTCGGGGATGGGGGAGGGAAGTGTGGTAGCGAGGGTAGAAGCAGACGGAGATGGGGAAGTGAACGAACTTGAGGTTTTGTATACACCATGGCCTACGACAAGATGGATTTGTGAGAGGATATGAATGTTTACAGACACGTGAAACAAGGAGGATGATAAGGCAGTCATTCAAGACCGAAAAAAAGAAACAGTGTGGAAACCTCAACTTCGAACCGTAATCTGCGCCCATGCCAGCCAGCGGAATCGAGTACATGCGACCAGCCGTCGGACTCGTAGACCACCCACACCATTATCTACTGCGAACATACACCACGTGCCCACATTAACCTCCATCCCATCCTCCTCCCTTCCCACAATCACCTTCCTCAACCCATCTCCATCACGATCGTCAATCTCCCATCCGCCCAATTGCCAAACCCCATCTCCATCTCGCAAAATCACCGCATCTTCACCGCCCACCCTCACCTCACCAGCAACCCAACCACACCCTCCCATCCTCCTATCAACTCGGCAACAACAGCCGAACATATCCCCACAGTCTCGCTTCTAGACCTCCGTGCACTGTTCTTAGTACTGTCTAGCTCCTGCGTCCGTTCGAAGTACTTGCTTTCTTTCGGTCGGGGCCGTAATAGCGATCGACATGTTCGGCTGTTTTTGCTGTGTGGCGAACGGATAGGCGGACTAGCGGTGGTATTAGGGTTGGGATGGGAGTGTATGACTGGGTGTGGTAAGTACGGTGATTACGGTCGGGCGGGTTCGGTTCGGATCGGTGATGGGTGTTGGGTTGGTGAGCGGGTGATGGGCAAGGTTGTTAGGCACACACACACACACAGTCATATTGAGGAAGAAAGAGTCAAATCGATGGAACAAGTAAGTTCTTCGTTCTCAACTATACTATCCTATCCTATCATGTCCTCCACTCTCTCAAACAAAACACCAAGCTAAATCGCACTCTCTCAAAAAGAAAGTAGGTATCGGGGTATCACCAAACTCCAGCTCCACCAGAGAAGAAGGCAGCCGCAAATCGTAGAGACCGCGCAGAGAAAGCAAGCGAAGACAGACACACCGTACAAACGAAGAGGTGCGCGGCAAGCCGCGGTCAACCAGGTAGAGTATGGGACCTCCAAGTAGTACGTATGTCATGTGATGAGATATCGCATTCGCATAGCAGCGTCCTAATCGCGCGCCTAAAAGGGGGGGTATAACAAAACAGAGTCGAACCAACGTAACAAAAGAAATGTTGGTCGACCATAAACAAAGACAGGATTCCAAAGCTCCAGTATTACCCAGTAAGTTTGTTGTTGATGATAATCCCACGAAGTTTCGTCAATCGTCGCAGACAAGAGAAAGATAGTGTGATTACAAAGGAGTGTGTGTGGGCAATAGAGCAGGAAACGTGAATGTAGAACAAAGGTCCCATGGACAAGTCCAGGGAAAGTAAAAAGGGGGTATGATGCAAAGCGCAAACTGAGGCTGGAACAAGACGTAAACGGACATACATCCTCGTGATATGGGGTTGTTTAGAAAACAATGTAACATGAGAAAAGGGTTTGGGTTGAATCAAAGACATGCGCTGCCAGTCGATAATGGCGAAAAACCGTTTCTCTCACGTTCATAGAACGAGGTACCCGACACCAGCCGCGAGCGCAACAACAAGACCGTTGATCTGGAGCGAGGAAGCGGCGCCCTCGAACTGAGGGGGCATGGAAGCGGAGGCGCTGGCCATGGGGCCGGAGGCAGTGGGCATGGCCATGCTGGCGGTGGTGTTGCCGGCGGCGTACGAGGGGACGATGGTGGGGTGCGTGGCGGAGATGGTGCTGGTGCTGTTTGCGGCGGTGTAGCCGGCGGCGGGGGATGAGGACGCGGTGACGGTGTTGACGCGGTAGACGGTCGAGGTGATGTAGACGGTGGCGTCGTACTGGTCTTCCTGGGCGAAGGCGCAGACGAGGAGCGCGAAGAGCGCGGTGATGATTTGGGTGAAGGAGCGCATTTTGGTGGTTGGTTTGGTGGTTGGTGGTGAAGGACGGTAGTAGTTGTGGTGGGTTGGATATGCGACTGTGAATGCGCAGTGCTTCGATGTCGAATCAGAAGAAGTGAGGGTTGCAAGTGTTATGCAGGTGCTAATGAGCTTCGCTCCGGTGATTTGTTTTGTTTGGAATGCGAGAGAGCAATGTGGATAGTCTTGGACCAAGTGATAGAGAGAGTGAGATATCAAGGATAGTACTTGTCAATGTAATGAGTGTGGGTAAGCCTAAAGCTTTAAAAGATCGTGAGTCTCGAGGAAGAGAGAGTAAAAGAGGGTTTGTCTCGCAACGTTTGAGGAGGGTGAAGGGGAAACAACGGGCAAGGCAGGGAGGGCAAGGTGGGCCGCCCCCGGCGCCTTGTATCGTGTTCCTGGCATCCTTGCCGCCAGTGCAATTTCCCACTGCCAAAGCGCAATTTCGGTCCCCCTGGGCGCGCTAACGCAGGTTCGGGCGTGCTAACGGGAGTACCTGAGCAAGGAAGCTGCCGATCTGGCGCTTGGCAATGGCGGCCACGGCAAATCTCTGCACTGCATCCCAGTCCGCGCGCGCTCCTGTGGTTGGCCTGAGGTGCAGCGCTGGACCTGAACTACCGAGGTACCCACTCTACGGCCAACGTGCTGCATCCTCGTGACGGGCGGGTGGTGACCTCACTTCTCACTCCCATCGCTAGGGGCAACCTTGAAGAAAGTCGCTGCCCAGGTGAGATGCTGTCATTGCCCATCTGCGAACTCAAGGTTCACGCCTCACCATGTCAAAGACCAAGTTTCAACGGCCATCACCCCAGGCAACTTCTCTCACCCCATGCGTTCCACAATCCCTCTCCAGCCCGAGTAGCCTGAGTCCACAGTGTCGCGCCTCAAAGCACGGACGCTGAAACAATGCGCAGCGAATCGTGCCGTCTGTTCGGCCTCCAAGGCGGAAACGCGACTGGAGGCAGCTAGGCCAGCACGACCAACC